GCTCGGGTGACGTCACCCCCCCCCTCAACAGCCTCCAACTGCCTCCCCCCTCCCACAGCCCCCCCCCCAACTGCCTCCCACAGCCCCCCAACTGCCTCCCCCCTCCCACAGCCCCCCCCCAACTGCCCCCCTCCCACAGCCCCCCCCCCCCAACTGCCTCCCCCCTCCCACAGCCCCCCCCCCCAACTGCCTCCCACAGCCCCCCAACTGCCTCCCCCCTCCCACAGCCCCCCCCCAACTGCCCCCCTCCCACAGCCCCCCCCCCCCAACTGCCTCCCCCCTCCCACAGCCCCCCCCCCAACTGCCTCCCACAGCCCCCCAACTGCCTCCCCCCTCCCACAGCCCCCCCCCCAACTGCCTCCCACAGCCCCCCAACTGCCTCCCCCCTCCCACAGCCCCCCCCCCCAACTGCCTCCCCCCTCCCACACCCCATCCCCTCCCGCAGCCCCCCCCAACTGCCTCCCCCTCCCACAGCCCCCCCCCCCAACTGCCTCCAACAGCTCCCCCCTCCCACAGCCCCCCCCCAACTCCCTCCCACAGCCCCCCAACTGCCTCCCTCCTCCCACAGCCCCCCCCCCCAACTGCCCCCCTCCCACACCCCACCCCCCTCCCGCAGCCCTCCCCAACTGCCTCCCCCTCCCACAGCCCCCCCCCAACTGCTTCCCTCCTCCCGCAGCCCCCCCAACTGCCTCCCCCCCCCCACACCCCCCCCAACTGCCTCCACCTCCCACAGCCCCCCAACTGCCTCCCCCTCCCACCACCCCCCCCCAACTGCCTCCACCTCCCACAGCCCCCCAACTGCCTCCCCCTCCCACAACCCCCCCCCCAACTGCCCCCCCCCACACCCCCCCCCAACTGCCTCCACCTCCCACAGCCCCCCAACTGCCTCCCCCTCCCACACCCCCCCCAACTGCCTCCACCTCCCACAGCCCCCCAACTGCCTCCCCCTCCCACAACCCCCCCCCAACTGCCCCCCCCCACACCCCCCCCCAACTGCCTCCACCTCCCACAGCCCCCCAACTGCCTCCCCCTCCCACAACCCCCCCCCCCCCAACTGCCTCCCCCTCCCACACCCCCCCCCAAACTGATTCCCCCCCCCCACACCCCCCCTCCCCCCCTCCCCACCAACAGCATCAGTGACGGCGTCATCCCGGCTCGTCATTCTCTCCACACGAGGAGTGGCACCGCCGTCGATCCCACGGCCCTCTCGTTTAGATCCAAGCAGTGGATTCAACTGCACTGAACTTTTGCAATGCAGTTTTATTTCTCCCTTTTGTTTTCGCCAGGTGGTAAAACAAAGTCCACACGGACCATCGCGGAGAAGTATGGTCAGAGAGAAATAAACTCGGCCCTTATCCAGCAGTGGGTGGACAAAAATATCTCTACGGTACACATGTTGATTAAAAATCAGGGGTGTAATTGTACATTAATTAGACGACTGCAGCCACGAGAGAGAGGCACTACAAAGCGCCACACTTTGAAACATAGTACTGTAGATATAAGGACTGTAATCAAATCTTGAATTGCTGTCCCCACTGTGACAATCGAGTGTGACAGATGCATTGTTGAAAAGCACAGGACGTCACTCTGTCTATTTTGTATTGTATCGTGTAAGTTATTAACATGCCAACACCATACTCTTTGGTTCTTTCGGTAAAGTCACGTATAGGTGAAAATAAACAAATCAAATAAAAAATGAAAACAACTAAATTAAATCACGACGTTTCGGGCGCAACACAAGCGTCCTTCATCGTGTTGCGCCCGAAACGTCGTGATTTAATGTTTTCATTTTTTTTATTTGTATTTTATTATTTTCACCTACGTGACTTTACCGAAAGAACCAAAGAGTATGGATCATTGCAGTCACGATCACTTCAAATCTAGAAATGACAACACCACCTTCACTCTCATTATAGATCATCAGTACAATATCGCCTAAACATTCCTCTGTTATAAATTGTGCCTTTGAATCCTCGAGAAAAGACGAATTGGCACAGTGTCATACTTGGAATGTGTTGACTTCTGCACTCGCTGATAATTACCATAAAACATGCCGATTGAGCTAGACATGTAAACGCAACATTATACTGGTAGGAACCACCAGGTTACACCAGCCCACAGGGGATTATTGTGTCCGTCCATCCGTCCGTCGTGCAGGGAGGGGCGGGGTGGGGAGGGTGGGGCTGGGTGGGGAGGGGAGGGTGGGGAGGGGCTGGGTGGGGAGGGAGGGGCTGGGTGGGGAGGGGCTGGTCACCCCGTGGTGCCCTTAAAAAACTCAACGTTTAGCCTACTCACGCCGGCTTGTGCCCGCCCTCACAGTCGGGCATATTTGCGGAATACACCACGCCGCCGTTGACCCTGGCCATTGACCGAGCAACCCAACGTTCCTACCAGCTCCCTCCGCAGGAATGTGTTTCACAGGATGGCAGGGCCATCTTATCGGTGTTCTCACACGGACAGTGGCCAATCGAGAGTGGTGGCTACGTCCCATCGGGGAGCTCTTCACACTAACGGTGGGTAAATCCCACAATAACCCCGTGTGTACACTCTCTCGGACATATCGGGCCGTCCATAAATGACGTCACGCGATTTTGGACGATTCCCCCCCCCCCATTCGTCACACGGCGTCACAAAAAGTCAGACCTCCCCCTCAAATATGACGTCACAAAGCTCTGCCCCCCCCTCCCCCAAAAATAAAACATTCAAATCGCTTTAAACTATTGTCATTGTAGTGCTATTTAATGTGCCGCTGCACTCTGATGTTGTAGGAGAAAACATTTATTAAAAAGTCTATTTAATGAAGTAGAACGTGTTTATATTTATTCAAAGTTGCGCATTTTGATGTGACGTCACGTTTCTCAACCCCCCCCCCCCCCAGGTGCGTGACGTCATTTATGAACGGCCCCTATACGACAAAGCGCATCTGAAGATGTGTTTCTGCGGCAGTCCGGATGGCTCTTCCTGCCGATATTAGGAAGCTATTGGGAGCGATGCACTTTTAAATCACCGAGTTCGAAACCTTGTTTCTTTAGAACTGCTCTGTGCTTTGTCTGATATCTTTACCCCGCACATCCGACGATCACGGTTGGCTATGTACAGGTGCGAAAGAAGTTCAACATACGTTAGAAAAGTGTTACCTTGTTTATTGTTATTGACGTTTTTATAAGGCGCAGCAGACCCAACAAAGGGCTTCAGAGTGCCGTAAAGAGAATAAGAAAAACATAGAAATAGCTTTAGTTTATCTGACATATGGTGGGAAAGAAGGGGGCTTTCTATCTTATTTCTAAAATGGGAACATCTCAGCAGTCAGGCGCAATTTGTGAGGCAGTGCCTTCCAAATCTGAGGGCCAAGGACTGAAAAAGGCCCGAGCTCTGAAACGTTTTTTTGTTACCGAAAGCGCGGCTGACAGAAATAGCATGGTCAGGGTGTGTGAGGAGGACCTCAAACTCCAAGGATTGTAAAGCTGCACAGTCTATTGGTCAAATATTGAGGCAATTGCTGACAGAGTGCTTTGTTAATTAAGCACAATAATTTGAATCGTGCACGGAGCTCAATTGGAAGCCAGTTGCAGATCGAGTAAAGTTTGGGGTTTTGGGTCCCGACGAGAATGGTTGGTCAGTCAATAGTCGCGCAGAGGCGTTCAGAAAGTCCTGGAGTAGTCTAACTCGACACCGTGAATGACCCACGTTAAAGGCATTGCCATAGTCGAGACGAGGATGTTCCAAGGGCATTCAGCACCTAAGCTCAATCTCCGTCAAGACGGGAAAGTTTGCTATGTTTGTCCATATGTAGTGGTGATACGCGCTGGCAGGAGGGATCGTGAGGCAGCGCGTGGTGATTGGTTACATCGAGTGGGTGCTCACATCGCGGTCCGCATAGGCTCCGCCCCCTCGGGAGCGGAGGGCTATGTAAGGCGATGCGCGCGGGCACTCGGGGAGTTGGTGACCAGTGAAAACAGAAGACGGAGGAAGAGATAGGCCCTGGGACCCCTAGCCCCGCTGCCCTTGTAAGGGCTGGGGTTCTGTGAGGCTCAGAGGCGAGGCCTTGGGATTCACGGTCCGACGCCCTTGTAAGGGCTCGGGCTGTGTAGCCCAGTGGTCTAGACCCGTAGTCTGACGAGAGGGGTCTGATAGCTCCCCGTAGGGAGAGCGTGGCCGGAGAGCCTGAGTCTAGGCAGAGAGAGGTGCGCGTACCCCACGGGGAAGACGGAGTACGTGGCCGAATCAGGCACGTGTGACATAGGTGTTATCTCGGTTGGGACTGTTACGTGTGCAACCGTTGTGAATAAACAGTGCTGCCCCGTCAACTCGTCTCCCGGCATAATTGAAGATATTACACATACACACGGATTTTTACTACTTGTTTTATATTGTGCAGAACCGACAGTGACTTATCCAACACCAAGCCACGACTCTTAGTCACATTTACTCGTCGGGGTGCCATTCCATTGGCCGTTAAAGACGCTGCCATGAGCCTCAGCCCAACAAGTTTAGACTCCTGCTCAACCAGAAAACACATTACTGCGGAGGGAGCTCGTAGAAACGTTGGGTTGCTCGGTCAATGGCCAGGGTCAACGGCGTCATGGTGTATTCCGCAAATATGCCCGACTGTGAGGGCGGGCACAAGCTGGCGTGAGCAGGTTAAACGTTGCGTTTTATAAGGGGACTACGGGGTGACCAGCCCCTCCTCACCCAGCCCCACCTCTCCCACCCCCCACCCTCCCCACCCAGCCCCTCCCCACCCAGCCCCTCTCTGCACGGCGGACGGACGGACACATTAATCCCCTGTGGGCTGGTGTAACCAGGAGGTTCCTACCAGTAATATTCTGAATTGTCTGGATTGAGTTTCAGACAGCTGTCAGACATCCAACTGTTAATATCCAACAGTCCAGCGGGGAGGGTAGTGGAATTCTGTTTGTCCCGCATGTCAAGATATACCCGAGTGTCATCGGCATACTGGTGAAAAGAAACGCCACGTGCTCTGATCAGATCTCCCAGTGTTTAATTTTCTCAGCAATAAAACAGACAATCAAGTGTACAACGAATTCACGTTTATTAGAGATCACCAGCACAGTATAGCCCTGCTAGCCTACTGCCACAATTGATATACAAAACAGGTCTCCCTCAAACCTGGCATCTCCATAAAAAAAAAGAACATCAGTACCTGGTGTAGGTTCTGAATAAAATAAAATAAAAATTTCCGTGCGTTTTCACTTGTAATCGATCCAAATGAACACTCAATTCAACTTGCGCAAGCGGCAGGCTTCAGCGTCGTGTAACAGAGGCCGACGACGTCTTGACCAATGTCACGACTACGTTAGCAATGCGAGGACTCGACTTGTAAGCAAATGATTTGGTCAGTGGGCCTGATTCAGAGCAGATAATTAAAAATCCTGCTCCCCCCCCCCCAACATCCAACTACTTGGGCCCAAGCTAAGAGACCATGGCTCATGTGATCGTGAAATCAAAGTGTGGCTTAGATGTGCCACACAAATTGCACACCTGCAGTACCGAGCTGCCATTGCTATACAAAACCATACGCGTTATGTTGTGGTGTAAAATAGTCTTAAAAGCGTAAATGAACATTGTGGTTCGGGATTATGATCAGTCCGATGGCAATTGCTGAGTTTCCATTACTATGAATCAAGAATTATACTTATTTGAAGCAAAATGGAATGGAATAGTTTGAATATTATTTTCCAAAACAGGATGTATTTTTTTTCTATAAGAGGAACATCGTGTCTTACGATTCTTGTAGCTTTTATACAAGTTTTGATTGTACTGCTACAGTAATTGGATATAATAACATGTCATGTGTAGCTTATTTCAACTTAAAACAAGTATTGACAATGTCCTTTATGTATTTGGCAAAATAAAGGACGTTTAAATGTTTATACTGCTTGTGAAAAGGGTACGTTTTTGGATAGACATACACATTTTAATCTATAGCAATGATTTTTACTATTTTAAATCGAATAAACGACACATGGACAAACATATTACTTGGAAACGCAGTAAATGCGACCGCACTATTGTACCACGACCATCATTAGAAGCATCCGGCTAATATGTGCCATTAAGTGTACATTCAGCGCTAAAGGATATTCAAACAGATGAATTGAGGGCACCATTCAGCCAGCCTACAACATGGAGAGACTCACTTCCAGCAGGCGCCCGGCAAATACCGACACATCATCAACATGTGCAGCTTTCTGAAAAGCATTAAGTGTCGTTACATTCTCCGATGTTATTTTGCTTCATATGCGTGCGATAAGATTGTTTTATTTACACATTAACAAGAGATATTATTTCATAACCCAACCTTCATTGTACTACTTTGTTTTATATTATTGGAGTACATACACGGAATAACGTGTCCACATTTTGCCCTCCTTTGTATAGTTTGTTCCAAAACTGTATCTTTTCCAGATCTCTCTTGGTTCTTTCGGTAAAATCACGTCGAAGGGAAACAATAAAATAATATGAAATAAAACGCCACTTTTTTCAAATTTTCTTGCTGTGGATTTCACACCTGATGATGATTGCTTGTGTTGCAGTCGAAACGTCGTGATAATTTTATTGTTTTATATTTTTATTATTTTATTGTTTCCCTTCTACGTGACTTTACCGAAAGAACCAAGTATATGAATCCCTGTAGTCACGAAAGCTTCAAATAAAAAATAAAATCAAAACATGTTGGCTTGTTTCTAACCAGGATTAAACAATATAAACCTGCAATTACAGTGCTGAATGTTGAGTTCTGCGTTTTAACATACAATTCATTAGCTGTGAAATATCAATCACGGTAATTTACATGTAGAATTCACATTGGCAACTGTTTCCTTTATTCAACAGAACACTATTTTTTGTTACAATGTGGTCCCCCCCTAAAATTACAACTTCATATATTTAGTAATGTATACTCATCAGGTGCACCGTATTAAAAAGGGTCATGAACATAAAATGCCGGTCTTGTAAAGTGCTTTCTGATATTGAAAATTGTATATATTCAGTCCTGACGTGTTACAAATTAATAATGCAGTGACAAAAAAAATCCATCTTTAAATATATCAAATATTTTCTATTGATCGCTCATCTGCCTCTATTCTCTCCGTGAGAACATGGGTCAGGGTGGATGGGAGGATTGTGTTTTCTGGGGCTGTGATAAGGATGGTCATTCAAATCAGGTAAATTGATCCCTTTTGTTTAGGCAAATGATTGGGAGATGAGAATCTCTTCTTTTCTATTCTCTTTAATATTTTATCACACCATGATCCAATGGATAACTCATTGTGCTTTGATGCAACTCTTTTTCAAATGGACTCTGTAACCATATACGTCGGTTAATACAATATTCACCGTTCGTGCATGCGGCTTTTATCCTTAGGTGTTAACTTTTTGTAAACATTTTTGGAACAAATAAGCTCAGGTGACTTAGCCCTATGCTGCACCACTTGCAGTGCAGAGAAGTGGAGGGGTGTTGGTTAGAGGGTTTGGCAATCAGGTGGTGGGAACGGGCACTTGGTGGCCACCTCAACGCCTACTTCGCAAAACGTCCGTGCCCCTGCAAGAGTCGGATATAATCTATATTCAACACGTAGGCTTTCGCGACCAATATTATTCATAATCAACGTTTTTGGGTTAGATCGCGTTATTTATAAAAATGCTGATAATTGCATCCAGCATCATCGGGCGAATTGCCCGATGATGCTGGATGCAATTACCAGCGAAACGTCGTACTCAAATATTGTAAATGTTGTGGTTTCACACTTCAACACCGGTGGGCCAAAGCAGTGAACTATTTGTCTTTTGTCAACGTGACACTTTTTTTGCTGATTGGCCGTGTCGGGTGGTGGAGGGTTACGACACATTTATAAATAACGCGATCTAACCCAAAAACTTTGATTATGAATATTCTACATTCATTCGATGGTTAGCGCTTGGCTGACCGTCGGACAAAGACGGCCACTGCATCGCGCGCTTTCGCGATGCACATCTGCGGCCGTCTGGAACACTCCTTCACTTCGACATTAGGAAGCCACTTTAAAATCTAGATGAAAAACTAATTTCTTTCGAACTCCTTTTTGTGTTTAGTTTGTTATCTCCCGCAATCGGAGGTTGGATACGTACGGTGCAAAAGAAGGTCAACGTACATACAAGGTATAAAGAAGACCCCTGTGGATGGCAGCATTGACGTAAACAAAAATTGTATATTGCTACGAGCCCTAAACCCTCATGTTTGCTAATCCGATAAGACGCATTGCATGGAAACAACACGCTCCGTAGCATCGTGTTCTCACTTTTTGGATATGCTGGCTGTACGGGACTAGGTTTCTCTGTACTTTGCTGCTGCCTGTGTTGCCTCTTGTTTAATGTTTTTGCTGGAAAACCCCTGAATGAAACTGGTTAAACTACAAAAGGTGTAACTACGTACAAGGTTATCGTTCAGTGTTACATTTGGTTGCTTTAAAGTGATAAACCAGAATGTATGTTCCGCGATGCTTTACCACTGCGAAAATTCAACGTGACAGGTTTTTAAATCTGGTCAGCCTACCGCCATGCCATCTACACCTGCACCTCCCATGATCCCACGTGTCTCGAACACAAATAATATAATTCACGATGTTTTATGGCATACATTCCACCTCTTATTAAAAGAAATGGAACTGGAAGAACAATATTCTAATCAATATACCCTAACATGAAAAACCAGGGTACTTTTTTTAAACCACAAAGCATCATGTGAAGACGCACAACACCTTGAATGCCAGTCGGCTGTCTTTAAGAAAGATGTTCACACAACTCGCAAAGTGAACGACATGGCAACACTATACTGATATTGACATAAAGCTTAAAATGCGTCTCAACACCGAGACCTGACAATACGGTCAGTTCCACTTCTTGATTCACTCTAATGTCATAGATTACAACAAAGTTTAAGCAAAGAACACGTGATTCCCATTGGCTGGGTAGCACTGTGGCAAACCGCTCAACTCTTTAACAAGAGGGCGGTGAGCACGTGTCCTGCTTTGGGGGAATCAACCCTGCCCATCACCCATATGGGGCGATACAATTACTTCAACTGTGTGTGACACCAACAGCGACTCTCCTGTTAATATACTGGCTCCAGGAATGTTCACTTTACACCATGGGCATTTGCCACACTCACAGTTAAATCGACAGTTGAAAGATAACCTTCAAGGGCCCATCTTACCCGGCCACTGAGCTGTGCTCCGTTCAGTAGGTAGCCCATCAAGCCATCACGTGGGCTTGAACTCATTAAGTGCAATAACAACGTGCGCGCGTGTGTGTGTGTGTGTGCAGAAACTGGTAACCAGGCCATCAAAACACACTTTATACGAGAGAGAGAAGCACGGGTTTCAAATCCAGGATCCCAGATGGCTCAATATTATGATGGCACAGACAAAGCTTTAGGGCCCTGAGTCACCCAGCCACCCCCATACTGTTAAAAGCATTTATCGTGCAACGTGACAATTTCAACCGCTGGGTGAGTTTGTTGTTGTTGTTGTCGTTATGACTGGATGATAAAAAGCATTTGCACGTGATTATGTAAAAATTATGTTTGCGTTTGCTATACGTTTTTTGTAAGCCAGTATAACCCCGATTTCACGGATTGAGAATTATCAAACAATTATCACCGTTATGATACAAAAAAAAAGAGCATGAAAGAGGTGACTTAAGTTCATCGTCTTAAGACAACACTTTCATTATGTTTAAAAATGAGACAAATTCTAGGGGGCTTAAAACATGCGGGAAAGTATATCGGCGTAACACCAATGTAAAGAACTCACACCTGCACACGTACAAGCGGGAAAAGCATTAAAAAAAAACGCGTTGTGTGCATTAGCCGTCAACTTACCGAGAAAGGTAAAGAACCACGGATATGTGATTTGTAAAATACATGGGGCGGTCAGAAAACCTTTTGAGAATTAGACATAGAAAGGTACGCACACAAGACTCACACTAATTACAGTGCATCGTGTTTCACTCTGGTAAACCCTGCAATAAACGCATTCTTGTGCCACCAATTGGGGTTGGCATATGAAGACTGGGGCTTTAAAATTAGGCCACATTATGTTTGGCGTTACCTTTTTTTCAGGTGCCTAATTCTCAAAAAAACAAGTAACACTCTGACCCCTGACCCCATACGTCATCCTTTGCAACAAGATTGTCGACACTTTGAACATTAGACTTCGAGTAAATAATTTACTCCACACGTTGAAGATATTTGTTTCTTTTCTTTAGAACATTGGCATCATTTTCATTTTTTTTCTCATAAAGTAAACACCAATGTGGCAAATAAAAAAACAACTCTTAAAAGATCAAATCATTTACTTCTTGTAAAAAAAATTGACTTTAACACTGTGGCCACAGGATGACTTCAGAGTAAAAAGCAGCTGGTTTTCTACGAGGCTCTGTGTTGCGGTGTTCCGTTGTTTCATTGAGGGCAGTCGTAGGCTCCCTGTTTGACCTCGTGACCTTCCAAGAGGATGAGCTCATTCAATGAAAAAGTAGAGCTTCCAGTCAAGAGTTCAAATCCTGCCCATAGTTGACTCGGCATCGTCATTATCATCATTGTCGATCATCATTGTCGATCATCGTCATTATCACCATCCCGCCAGGAACAGCAACAAATGAGCACAACCCGGAGTGCTCCAACAATCGGACTGGGAAATCTGCAGTGGTCACAGTCCTCTGGAGAAATCGGGTTCAAGCCATCGTATCGTAGCATTCCTGCCCCATCGCAGGACCATCAACAGGAATGAGCCGTGTCCAGTGCCCATTGGAAAACGGGTGCAACGTTGAACCAAGCTCACGGTCCCGTAGGCAACGTTTTTCTTCACCTCCGAATTTCCACGTGTAATGGAGAGTGATCCCTGCTTTCCTCGGTCTATCCACGGAGCGCGTGTACAGGAGGTAGGCGCAATAACAGTTTGCAAGTCCTGACTATGACTATGACCGAGCCCCGTACAAGCGATACATCGAACGAACTCGTCGAAACGTGCCCTGCGTATTTATGGTCGAGTGTTCCACTTTATATAGTTGCCACATCGCCCATGTCCATAGCAGTGTACACACAAAGCGTCGCCCGTGCACGTGATATCACATGCACTGATTTTTTTGTTATCAGAAATGGTGTGCCACTGTCATTGTCGAGACGCAAAACAAAAAATGAACGTATTTTCATCATCATCCCCGACAGAAAGAAGGGCCCTTCCGTTGTCATGTTCAATGATGGCAAGGGTGATCACACCAGCGATGCCATTTTCAGTGTCTGTAACCGGCTCCTCTCATCACCGCCATCACAAGGTGCAAATGAATGGATTTTCCTTCATGTCTTATCATTCGAATAGAAAGAAGAATAACAATAGACATCAAGCTCTCAAACTAAAATCCAACACGAAATACGAATTTCAAATAACATTTGTTTGTGCTGTCATCTGTGACTGGATTGAGACCCACAAAGTTGCCACACTTGAAAACAAAGTTGAATCACAGACGTGGAGCCTTGGTTTTGACCTCAGGACCTCAGCCATGCCTGATCGGTGCTCTGAGACGGGCATTAGTCCCCTGAGAGAGCCTGACGGAGACAAACTGATCAAGGACAGAGCCTGCGATATAAGAGATGCAGGCCTGTGTTTCTCCACAACACGGGCAGAGAATCGATCCCGTCGAACCTCTAGGAGCCGCCTGGCCGACCACACCGCGATTAAAACACGACGAAAGAAATGATAACTGCTGACGATAGCAAGGACTGCGATACTTGGGAGGCCCGGCCACAGCCGGCGCTAGAGGTTTTCTCCGGGCTGGTATTGCGGCTCCGTGGCCGTGAAGTAGTCTTCGAGGAAGGACTGCAGGTACTCGAACGTGGGGCGCTGCTCGGGCTCCTTCCGCCAGCACAGCAGCATGAGCTCGTACAGGGAGTCGGGGCAGTCCTGCGGGCAGGGCATGCGGTACCCCTGCTCCACATTGCCCAGAACCTCGCGGTTCATCATGCCTGCATGGGGGGCGTCATCACACACACGCGCACACACACAGATATATATATATGCATGCATGTATGTTGAACTTCTTTTGCACCCGTACATAGCCAACCGTGCTAATCAAAGATACAGGGGAAGGACGGCATACGAAACACGTAAAGCAGTTCTAAAGAAATTCGTTTTCAACGATAGATGTAGCTCCAGTGGCTTGCTAATATCGGGAGAAAGCGCGTCCCAGACGTACAGATCCCCCGTGGAGCCTTTAACAAACTGTTGGGGCAAATGCTGTGAGTGAGCACGGACGAGGGTCGGCACGGCATACGAGGTGGTGAGTGACCAACATCACGCCCGGCCACCTTTGCCTCCCCCCAGCACTGATCTTCACACACCGCACCATGTACTCATTTAGAGCAGAGTCGACCAAAGGGAGACCCAGGTCCAGTTCAAATATTCACCGCTGTTATCGGTTGCGAGCGGCAATCAAACTCTGGTTGCCAGGTTCGTAGTGCAGTGCGCTAAACGCTTTGCCACCACTCCCCACACACACACACACATGCACGCAGACACACATAGGTATAGAAACGGACACGCATTTCGAAGGATATGCACACACACAAGTGCAGACAAAGATAGAATATCCACCATTTAAACTTAACCGACCGTTGGGGCAAGTGCTGTTAGTGAGGACCTATGACGGCTGGCACAGCACACAAGGGGGTGGGGGGTGGCCAGCTACGTTTGTCTCCCTTGTGGAAATGTTTACACGTCACACCAGGTACTCAATCAAAGCTGCGTCAATCGTGGGTCGGCCCTGGACCGGTTCAGATATTCGTCACATATCCCTGATACACCGTGGCCTCTGCCTCCCATCGTCTGTCCCGAGGAGTCAGCACGAGTTGGTGAAAGGGAAGGGTCCCGATCCGGTTCGGACATCATTCGTCTGTGGTGCTGGCCGTGAACGCGAATCAAATTCACGTCGCCGGGTTCATAGCGCAGACCTCTAACCACCGTGCCACCATCGTTCCATCCCTAATGGCACCGAGCCCCTGGAAATCTATGGACCTCATCAGCAGAAGACCTCATCAGAGCTGGTCTTTGTTGCCACTGCCTCATCAGCACTTGATGCTGAGTCGACCTAGGTGACGCCCAGGACCGGTTCAGATAAACGTCATTGGTGTTGACCGTGAGCGGGAATTGAACTTTGGGAGCTGGGTTCGTGGCGCAGCGTGCTAACCGCTACACCACGCTCCCCACATGCATACACAAGCACACACACCTGTACATGCACACGCACCTAGACATGCACACGCTCGTACACAAAGAGACCCAACACTGACCAGGGTAGGGGATGCGCCCCTTGGTGACCAGCTCGGTGAGCAGCACGCCGAACGACCACACGTCGGACTTGATGGTGAAGTGGCCGTGCAGCGCAGCCTCTGGCGCGGTCCACTTGATGGGGAACTTTCCTCCTGAGATGCGCGCACACACACAAAAACACGCGCACAGAAACACACACAGAAGCACACACAGAAACACACACAGTGAAATACATGTGAAGTGTTCTTGAAGACGCGTGGACAACGGGGTAAGGCACACGTATTTATTTGCACAATGTCTTTACAGTACTGGAGGGATGTATCGGCCCCCTCACCCGTACAACTGGGAATTCACCCCTAGCTAGCCTTCCTAGCCGAGTCCTCCGCTAACGGGCTAGGGGAGGCTGTCTGGCCCGACACTGGTCAGTCGGGCTACGGTACCCGGAATCCCAGAGGTCTGACTCTGGTTCCGGGACCACGCCACTGGCTCCAGCCTGCACTGCCCTTACAAGGGCGGCGTCCCAGGGGGAGTCCAGGGCCTATCTGGCCGGTCTTCTCTCTTCCCTTAACTACACTAAGACTGAGCCCCGAGCTCTCTGGCTCAACCCTTTTTATACCCCCCTAGAGGATCGAAACCCCCCTCACGCCGTCCAGTACGGACGTCGTTGCGGGCACCACCCCGTGTGCTAACGGAGTCCCCGCCCACTGTGTTTGTTATCCGTTAGCCCCTATGCAACCAGCCCTACACAAACAGCCCCTCTGTAACAGCCCTACATCACCCCCCCCTGTACAGCTCGCAGCCGTCCCGGCTGCAACAACTTTAATAAAGGCTATTTAACCCCTGGATACCCGCGTGTGCCTTAAAAAAACGTTTTTAACGCTAACATGAAGGAACCAACAGCAACAACGACAACAACAACAACAATGACAACAACAAAACCCACAACCCCGAAGGGAACAATCCGACGCACCCCCCCTGAATAAATACGAATACCGTAAGAGCGACGCATATATACAGGTTAAGCAGGGAACTCGCAGCACACATGCAACACAACAAAAAAATGTGTTAGGAGCTCCCCACCGACGCAGCACCACGCAACCGTACGTAAGAGAGAAGAAGAAAAAAAATGTTCGTCCAATGCATTATAAGAGTCTGCGCATTTTTGCGCGTGTCCTTGCTGCAGGCCCGTCACACGGGGCAATCCCGGGTGGCGAACCCGCCGGTGGCGGTTGTTCGTTTTGTATAGAGTCCGCGTCTGACGTCGCGGGAACCTCGGCGTCCCTTGCAGCAGCAGGTGGGTGCGAGCTCGTCAGTCCCGATGCACCTGGAGGTGGCACGGCCGGCAAGGCATTAGGTGAGCGCGGTGGGGACGGAGCTAGTGAGTCGGTCGACCCCCCACACGTCTGGCCACGCATGTGTGAAGTGGGTTTGTGTACCGCGACGAAAGGTTTCAACCGAGAGGGGTGCACGAACCATCGCCGCTTCCCCCAACGAATGCGCACGCACTGTGGTCGCAAGACCTCGACCACTTCCACAGGGCCCCGCCACGGCCGCGCCAGCTTAGGGGAGGTGGCCAGGGGTACTTGGGGACAGTGCAACCATGCCCTGTCCCCCGGTTTCCACTGTATTACATGCGCCCGACCCAGCCTGAGGCGCTCGTTCGCCTTTTGACGGAGGTCCGAGTTCAACCTCGCAGCATCCCGCGCCTCTGTTAATTTAGCCAGATTAAATTTGACGTGGTCAGCCAATTTAGTTTTTCCTTGCGGGTCGGGGATCTGCAGCTGGGCGCGAACAGGCGGGTCGGGTTCGCGACCGTACATAAGGTAAAAGGGGGAAAATCCCGTAGCTGCATGGGGTGCCATCCGGTATGCCGCCAAGACCCCCTGAATATGCAGGTCCCAATCAGTCTGAGAATCTGAGACCTGCTGTGCCATCATTGACGAAATGGTGCGATGCAGGCGCTCGACCATTCCGTCTGTCTGTGGGTGATACGGGGAGGTCCGAATTTTCTTTGTGCCTAAGAGGTCACAGACTTGTTTAAGTAATTTGCTTGAAAAATTTTTACCCTGGTCGGTCAGCAACCGTTCCGGAGCACCTTTGTCCAGGACGTATCCCTGAACAAAGGCGTCCACGATGGCTGCTGCCGACTGGTTGGCAAGGAGCCAGGCCATGGGCCAGCGCGTAAAATACTCGACTCCTGTCAGCAAATACCTATTGCCCCTGGGGGTGGCGGGAAATGGGCCCAAGATGTCCAGCGCGACAAGCTCATTTATTCTGGACACCTTGATTGATTGTAAAGGCGGGTTAGACTCCCGTGCCGGCGGTTTCCGTTGCGCACACCGCGGGCATGAACTCAAAAGATCCCCAACATCCTTTGTCATACCAGGCCAAAAAAAATCTAGTTGTATCAGTGCAAGGGTCTTTAGAGTCCCCAGATGTAACAGGCGCTCATGCGCGGCCCACACCACTTTGCCTCGCAACTCCGAAGGGACGACCAGCCGATGTCGCTGTGATTTTGCGTCCCAATGCATGAGCAGACCCTGTACCATTTCCCATGCACCCGAATCACCTTTCACCCGGCCAGCACCCCCGACGCGACGACGCCACCCGAGGAGGGAGGTATCCTCCATTTGGAGGCGCCCCCACTCAGTGACGGGCAACCCCAACAGGGAATCCCTTCCCTGTTGTTCGATCGAATTATCAGGCAGTGGTTCGTCGTCGTCGGTGGCTGCCAGGATCGGAACCGATGCGTCCCCTGAAGGTCTGCAACGTCCCGACCCCAGGAGGCATGCACATTCCGAGGTGGTTGGCATGCGTGACAGAGCGTCCGCGTTGGTATGGCGAACGCCCTTACGGTAAGTGGTCTCAAAATCAAAATCCTGGAGAACCTCCAACCATCGGGACAACTGTCCCGATGGTTGTTGAACCCGCAGGGCATACTGTAGTGCCGCATGATCTGTGCGGACGGTGAAATGCCGACCGTACAGATATGGGCGATACTGTTTGATGAAAAAAACAATTGCCAACAGTTCTCTACGGGTGACACAATATCTCTGCTCCGCAGGAGACAACACCCGACTACCGTACGCGACCACCCGTTCAACGCCATCAACCACCTGGGAAAGCACACCCCCAATACCCGTGTTGCTCGCATCGGTGTCGAGCAAAAAGGGCTTCGAAAAATCAGGGTAGATCAAGGGAGGGGCTTTCACCAGGGCGTCCCGAAGGGAGCGGAACGCAGCCTCCTCCTCTTGACCCCAGTGGAACCGAACCCCTTTAGATGTTAAAGCGTGCAGGGGTTTAGCAATTGTTGCAAAATCAGCAACAAACCGTCGATAATACGACGCGAACCCAATGAAACTCCTGACCTCTCCCACCGAGGTGGGAGTCGGCCAGGAGCTGACACACTGCGTTTTGGCGGGATCGGTAGCAATACCTGAGCGTCCCACGATGTGCCCCAAATAACGCACCGAATCACGCAACAAATGGCATTTTTGGGGCTTGAATTTCAAATTAGCAGCCCGCATCTTTAGGAAAACCGCCCGCAACCTCTGGAGATGTTCATCAAAAGTTTTTCCAAAGACGATAACGTCATCCAAATAAATGAGGCACGACTCCCATTGCAGTCCAGCCAAAACCAATTCCATTAAACGCTGGAAAGTTGCCGGCGCTGAGTGTAAGCCCATCGGCAACCGGTTGAATTGAAACAAGCCGTGCGGTGTACGAAAAGCAGTTTTAGGCTTTGACTCATCATCCAGAGGAAGCTGCCAGAATCCCGAAAGTAAATCGAGTGTGGAAAAGAATCGCGCTCCCGCCAAGGCGTCAAGCGATTCATCCATCCGAGGGAGCGGGTATGCGTCGGCAACCGAAATTTTATTAAGACGCCGGAAGTCAACGCAAAACCGCAACGAACCGTCCTGCTTTTTAACCAGGACGATCGGCGCTCCCCAAGGGCTGGTGGAAGGAGAAATGATGTCCGCGGCCAACATGTCATCAACAGCCGATTTGACATGGTCCTTTTCGGCGGGACTCAACCGAAACGGATTTTGGCGAATTGGCGCGCTGTCACCCGTGTCAATATGGTGACGCAGCAAGTGAGTGCAACCCAAATCATATTTATTTCGACTAAAAACGTCGGAAAATTCTCGCAGTAATGTTTTAAGTTGTTGACGCTCTGAATCGGACAGGTCCGTCGATCCCGCACAAAGCGCCTCAAGCCACCCTTCATCGCTGTCCGAATGCGGTCGCGACGCAGGGACAGTGTTGACGCAATTTACGGCGGGTTCCTCACACGGCACCGGCGTTGCGTGAGCAAGCACGGTCCCCTGTGGGACCACCACCGTCCGCGAGCCCACATTTAGGACCGCGATGAAGGGTTCACCATCCCCTCTCACTATGGTCTGGGCCGGTAGTAAGTCAGGTCCACTAACCCCGGCCCTAGACGGTCCCAACAGTACCCCTTGTGCCCCAGCACCCTTAACGAGGGGCCGCCGAAGTTTCAAGGGTACCAACATTTGCGTCCCCGGAGGAACGCGTACCGTTCTTTCCACGAACGCCGGCACCGTCGCGAACGCCGTCCGAGTCGCAACCGGTGATGGCAGAAACGCCATGCGTCTGCCCGATGGAAGCTCTATGCACCCCTGGTCGATCAAAATTACAATCGGCATTTTGGCCAGGAAGTCCGTCCCCAGCAGGCACGGAACCGCCAGCGAGGAAGAAACAAAAATCGGCCCAGACAATTTTATTTCCCCGATACAAATTTGGGCACGAATTTGTCCGATGATGCCAAGTGAGCCCCCGTTAGCCGCATAGAATGGTATGTTAACTGGCATCAAGGGACGACTCCGGACGGGGAGAATATTATAAATTAATTCCGAAATAATAGTCGCCGATGCTCCCGTATCGACCAGGATGCGCACTTCAACCCCGTCGATATACCCCACAACGGCCGACGACCCCGACGATGCGGCAACCACACGATCGGCCAGCACGGACCACTGGCCGGGTTCGATATGGGTACCCGGAGTGGTGCGTGATGGTGCGATGGTGCGTGATACCGGCCCCCCTCTCGTCGCGGTGTTTGAGTGCGTGACGGGTGTGTGTGTGGGCCAAACGTGTGGGGTGCCGCGACTCGCCGGTTTTTGATGGTGGAGCTTGGGATGAGGCCCGTCGTCCCGGTGAGGTGTCGTCCCGCGCTGACGAGGAGAGCGGCACCCCGAGGCGACGTGGCCCCGGACGCCGCAGTTAAAGCACCGCGGGAGCGACGTCGGAGGTGACGAATGGTCGGAACGGCCCGACCCGTCCTGGCCCGGCCGTGCACTCGTCGCCTGTTGCCGTCGGTGGTCGACGGCGTAGAGTTCCTCCGTCGGAAGGGTGGCTGCAGCCACCGCACGCCCCGCCGATGCCCTGCTGGCTTTTCGCCGGAGCGACAGGAGGTTTGCGTGGAGGAGCCGCGCCGCCTGGAGCGATGTCATTTCCGCGTCCTCCTGTGCGACGACAGCGATGTCAAGATCGTCAGCCAGGAGGAGTATTTTCTCCGTCACCATAGCGTCGATGCCGTCGTCATCCATACGGGGGAAGGCCGACTTGGCCATCGCCAGGAGGCTCGTTCGGTACGCCAGGGGCGACTCCTTTTCTCCCCGCTTGCGGTCGTAGAACTCCTGTCTGCATTCCGCCGATGGTCCGTAGACCCCTCCCAGCAGCTGCAGCGCCATTGGTAACGTAGAGCGCCTTTCCTTCGGTGCCGATGTTAGGGCGGCAAGCGCGTCGCCGTCCAGGAGCGCCGGCAGGGCGCTGAGAGCTTCTGCGTCTGTCCATTTAGCCATTTCTTGGTGGGCGAGGAAGCGTCTTCGGAAGCCGCTCCAGTCGCCCTCTGCGCCCACGAATTCTTTAAGCGGGGGCAGCCTTTGATGCAGCGCAGCGGTTGCCGTGGAGTCTCGGCGCGAACGGCAGATGGCATCGCCTGTCGCAGCTTTGATGACGCGCCCTCCTCCGTCGTTGATGCGGCAGCCCCAGCGCGGCCGATGTCGGACCCCAGGTTGAGGTTGGCCACGCCCCTAGCGGTCGCCGCGTCGATGGCGGGAAATTCAAAATTTGAATCTTCAGAAATGGCGGGAAGGCGCTCCGGACGCCGGTTCCCCTCGCCCCGCGGTGGACCACCAGCCCCCAGCCGTGTGATGTTCTCCAGCGTAGCGGCAGCGGCGTAGAGCAGTTCCGCCAGCCTCTCGTGAGCCAGCCTCAGGTCGTCTGTCCGCTGCTCCTCTTCATGGCGACGCTCCGGCAAGAACGCGTCCGGCCCCGGCTGCACGTCGTCTTGTTGAGCCATCTCGGGCTCGACAATTTCGGCGGCGTCTTCCGTTTGCTGTTCCCTGGCTCGAGCTGTTTGGCGCGTGTCCATGTTCTTGGTTCTTCTGACGCCAGATGAAGTGTTCTTGAAGACGCGTGGACAACGGGGTAAGGCACACGTATTTATTTGCACAATGTCTTTACAGTACTGGAGGGATGTATCGGCCCCCTCACCCGTACAACTGGGAATTCACCCCTAGCTTGCCTTCCTAGCCGAGTCCTCCGCTAACGGGCTAGGGGAGGCTGTCTGGCCCGACACTGGTCAGTCGGGCTACGGTACCCGGAATCCCAGAGGTCTGACTCTGGTTCCGGGACCACGCCACTGGCTCCAGCCTGCACTGCCCTTACAAGGGCGGCGTCCCAGGGGGAGTCCAGGGCCTATCTGGCCGGTCTTCTCTCTTCCATTAACTACACTAAGACTGAGCCCCGAGCTCTCTGGCTCAACCCTTTTTATACCCCCCTAGAGGATCGAAACCCCCCTCACGCCGTCCAGTACGGACGTCGTTGCGGGCACCACCCCGTGTGCTCACGGAGTCCCCGCCCACTGTGTTTGTTATCCGTTAGCCCCTATGCAACCAGCCCTACACAAACAGCCCCTCTGTAACAGCCCTACACATGCACAGAAACACGTAGAAACACACACACATTGAAAGACACACACCATTACTCACGGACACACCAAAACACACACACACACAGAAAGATACATGCGCAGAAACACACATTAACACAAACCTCAGATACGTTGAATCTCAGTCACTTCTGCATTGTCAGAAGTGGACGATAATTAAATAATGCAGTGTTGTCAGATCGAATATATTCCCCGAGAGTACCCAGTTCGTACGAGCAAAGATCCCCAGTGATGGATAAGTGTAATGTGTGGGCCTTTTCAAAGGGGTGGGCTCACAATGGCCCCTTAGCTTGGCTTCAAGCAAATTTCCAACATACGCTTTCAGCCTCTAGGGCTCTACATGGTCTCGCTTCCTCCTCGCCGACTGAACCACTGCCATCCTGTGTTCCATAATTACGTTTTTTTTGGGGGTTAGATCGCGTGAATATAAACGCGTCGTTAAACCCGCCACCACGAGCCGACTCGGCCCATTGATAAGGTTTGTCACTACGTCAGCACACCGGTGTGTTGGGGAGTAAACCCACAACATGTACAATTCGAGTAACGACGTTTCGCCGGTGATTACAACAACCAGCGTCATCAGGCGATAGCCAGAATTGACTGTGAAGCAGTCCTCCTCCCTCGGTCTTAAGCCTACGTGTTAAACAACCTGCATTCCCGGTCGTTTCACCTCAACCACGGGACTCTGTTCAACAAGTGCACCAACGGCTGGTTAACGTCTTCTCGTTCAGCGGCCCGTCTTTGGAACGCGACGGGCTACACTCGGCAAGGGTCCGCCGATTCTCGGTACATTATTACATCGCGCCTGTTGACGACCTGTTTCCGAAACGCACATTCAACGGCAGCGAATTGGCTGCGTCTCAGTTCGTTGACTTCACTCTCTTTGTCGTCGTGGTTCATCTGCATTGCAGAGATCATAGCTCGTGCAGCAATACCTCGATAAGCGTATATTCAATATGCAAAGTTTTGGTATCACAAACTCTATAGGTTTTTTTACCATTATTTTACACAGAGAGCAAATTTTTGTTAGTGAAATAATAAATAAACACTGAAATTGATATGTAAATTATAATTATTTAATCGATTTACGGTACTATATAAATAATACATTTACGTTTCTTCACCGCTTCTTTTATTCACGTCAGTTATTAATATAAAACCTTTACAGTATAAAATACTGTATTGCTTTCAATATCAATTGTCTTTGTTTACAATATGATCGGTAAGTTATGAAGTGTTTTTAACACGAAGTGGTAAGTTACGATAGCTGGGAGCGCATCCTCAGAGTACTCTTATAAGTTATTCGACATGCGAAGTTTCAGTATACGAATGAAGCTCAAGGAACCCATCTATTTCGAAAATGGAGGTATTACTACCTATATAGGCACTTTGTGAATCCTTGATCCTAGATGTATTGCTGTGAATGTTCCGACCCACAGTGTGTGTATGAATGTTGAACTTCTTTCGCACCATACGTAGCCAACCGTGCTAATCGGAGCTGCGGGGAAAGGACAACAAACTAAACATGAAAAGCAGTTCTAAAGAAACGAATTTTCAACATAGATTTAAAAGTGCATCGCTCTAGTGGCTTCCTAATATCGTAAGGAAGAGCATTCCAGATGGCTGCAGAAGTGCATCTGAAAGCGCGCGATGCGGTGACCGTCTTTGTTTCGATGGCTAGCCAAAAGCCGCTGCTGCAAGAATGACCGAAGTTTGCGTGATGGTTGATGCTCCTTGACGAGATCAGCGTACGATGGCTGTACGCACCCCTGGTACCGTGGGGGTGTCGATCGTGCACAGTTCTCATGAGTTCAGGTCACCCTGCGGGCGCCATGTGCCGTGAGCCCGGTGTTTCGGATGGCTACTGGACGTCTGTGAACACTGCTGGACATCTGTGAACACTACTGGACGACATCTGTGAAAGAAAGAGCTTCATAGCTCGTCGCATTGCTCCAGGACAAATCAATATCCCCATGATTCTCTGCGCAGGCGCGGGGTCGCGGGGGGGTGGGGGGGGGCGCACACCTTGCTGCGCCGAGTACTCGTTGTCCTCGATGAGGCGGGCGAGGCCGAAGTCGGCGATCTTGCACACCAAGTTGTCCTTGACCAGGATGTTGGCGGCGCGCAGATCCCTGTGCACGTAGTTCATCTTCTCGATGTACGCCATGCCCGACGAGATCTGCATTCACGCGCAAACGCAAGACGCCCCCGCGTGGCCCTTCACCGGACTGTTGGGAGCGAGTGCTTTTGTTATGAATTGTTGTTATTGTTACGAGACAAACCACGGTGGTGCGATTGTGGCAACGCGCCGCGGTAGTGCAGCGGTTAGCGTGCTGCGCTACGAACCCGTCGACTCAAAAGAGAGCCGCACGCGACTTCGGAGTCGCAGGTTTGTCAACGCCCCTTGCCTCCTGGGGTTCTGGCTCAGTGCCCTGACCCGGCCATCGTGAACGTCACGATAGCCGGCCGGCCCGGCCGTCTCCAGTTCTTGGAATTTCCATTCAGCGAATATTAACGTTGGCCACCACAAGCAAGTGAATAGGACTGCCAGACCGCTCCATCAGTGCCCGAAACTTGGACCGCGCGTGCGTAGGGCGCACACGCAAGATGTACGAGCGCACTTACCTGGGCTGCCATGTCCATGAGCTGAATGAGCTTAAGCATGCTCCCTTCCCCAGACTTGACGAAGTCCAGGAGGCATCCTGTGGGCAGACAACATCACAGGCATGCTGTCAAGTCAAACGCGATTTGCTGCTCAAATGAGCATGATGCAGTGATCTCCTGTTTACAGCCCTGAGCCAGTGGTGGATATTCCTCATTCCCATGGCAGGTGTGAGTCCATTCACAGAACCACCACTGTTGACTTTGCCATGAAGTGGTGCACAATTTATCAAGCCCAGGAGCGACGATGGGCTGAGTCAACACCCAAGCAGGAATTGGAACTCGGCACCTTCCAATCGCGAGCCACTCGCTCTCCTGCTGAACCACCGCTACCTTCACGTAATTAAGTGTTTTGATAAATGAGGCCGCGCATATCTTTGGGTCTGGAATGTATTAGCGAATGATAAGGCAGCACTTTGTCGAGCGATCATTTGTGGCCGGGTCGCTTCTGAAAAATAAGTTACTACCTCAGTGGGCTTTGGTTGATAGGATGGGGATGGGTTACTTTCCTTTGTATGTTGTTCGGTGATTTGTTTACCTTTCTTGTACTTTGTACGACTACAGTAAAACCTTGGATTGCGAGCATAATTCGTTCCGGAAACGTGTTTGTAATCCAAAGCACTCGTATATCAAAGCACTCGTATATCAGTTGTGATCACGTGACGCTCAGCAGACAAAGCGTATACACGTACTACTCGTATTGCAAGACCTCGCTCGTCTTGCAAAACACTCGCAGACTAAGTTACTCGCAATCCAAGGTTTTACTGTATCATGTTTTGGTAATGTTTGTTGTTGTAACGTTCTTACCTGCCCCTACTGAACATCTGTGAAAAAGAGCATTATAGCTCATCAGATTCCTCCAGTATAAATATTCTGATGTGCAGTGAACACAATACAAACATTGATCAAGTAATTTTCCAAGAGGAAGATGGAAACCCAAAGGATAGAAACCCAAAGGATAATCAGGTTTTATTTTGCCCCAGTTGTCAAAGTAATATCGATCTGCAGCAATCCGCATGATCATCAGCAGCCACGATCAATCCGCCGCTGGATGTAGGCCTCCCCAAGCCATTGCCATCTCTCACAGTTCCGCGATGTAACACATCCATGTCATGAATCCACGCAGAAACAGAGGAGAATGATATACAAGCTCCGTACTGAAACACGCCCGAGTCGGGAATCGAACCCAGGCCCTTGCTGCTGTGCCCACGAGCTGCGTTGCAAGTTACTGGGGACCACGTTTCAGGCTGCACTACCGTTGGGGAAAGGATATGTGACCAGTGGCGTCACCAGGCGGGTGCGGGGACTACGGACCGCACCGGGTGACACCAAATGACTGTCTACACAACTTGTGTGCAGTGTTTCCGTAGTGGTGGGGCCTCTTCACCTTTGTTCATGTACTCGGTGACGATGTAGATGGGCTCCTGGGACACCACGGCGTAGAGCTGCACCAGCTTGTCGTGCCGCAGCTTCTTCATGACCTGCGCCTCGTCCAGGAAGGCCGTGGGCGACATGGTGCCGGCGCGCAGCGTCTTCACCGCCACCTGCGTCGAGCCGTTCCACGTGCCTGGCGAGAGCGGCCGCCACGCGTGCGCGTTCACGTGCGTTCACGTGTGTGTGGGGTGTGTGTGGGGTGTGTGTGGGGTGTGTGTGGGGTGTGTGTGGGGGTGTGTGGGGTGTGTGTGGGGGTGTGTGTGGGGTGTGTGTGGGGGTGTGTGGGGTGTGTGTGGGGTGTGTGTGGGGTGTGTGGGGTGTGTGTGGGGTGTGTGTGGGGGTGTGTGTGGGGGTGTGTGTGGGGTGTGTGTGGGGGTGTGTGGGGTGTGTGTGGGGTGTGTGGGGTGTGTGTGGGGTGTGTGTGGGGGTGTGTGTGGGGTGTGTGTGGGGTGTGTGGGGTGTGTGGGGTGTGTGTGGGGTGTGTGTGGGGTGTGTGGGGTGTGTGTGGGGTGTGTGTAGGGTGTGTGTGGGGTGTGTGTGGGGTGTGTGTGGGGTGTGTGTGGGGTGTGTGTGGGGTGTGTGTGGGTTTGTGGGGTGTGTGTGGGGTGTGTGGGGAGCAGTAGCGTAGCGGTCAGCGCGCTGCGCTACGAACCCGGCGACCCGAGTTCGATTCCCGCTCACGGCCAACACCGGTGACGATAATCTGAACTGGTCCTGGGCCTCCCCTAGGTCGACTCAGCCTCAAATGAGTACCTGGTGCGGTATGAAAGCACCACACCTGGCCACCTTTGTCTCTCCACATCAGTCTACCTCGGGGAGGTCCAGGACTAGTTCAATATTTGCCAGTAATTGGTTGTGAGTGGGAATCAAACTCGGGTCGGTGGGATTCGTAACACAGTGCGCTTACCACTGCACCACACCAAAAGAAAAGACAAAGATCCCCCGTATAGTCTTAACAAACTGTTGGGGCAGGTGCTGTTAGTGAGCACCTATGAAGTCCGGTACGGCACACGAAGGGGTGGGTCGCCAGGACCACGCCCGACAGCCTTTGTCTCCCCATTGGCAATGTTTACACACCGCATGAGGAACTCATTTGAGGCTGAGTCAACCTAGGGGACACCCAAGACCAGTTTAGATACTCGTCACTGGTGTTGGCCGTTAGTGGGAATTGAACTCGTGTCCCCGTGGGTCATAGCGCAACGCGCTAACCACTCCACTCCCGCTTCCACGCACACACACACAAAGACAAAGATCCCCCGTATAGCCTGGACAGACGGTTGGGGCAAGTGCCGTTAGCGAGCACTTATGAAGGCCGAAACGGTACACGAGAGGGTGGGTTGCCAGGTCCCCAAGCCCGACCGCCCTTGTCTCCCCAATAGCGATGTTTACTACACACTGCACCACGTACTCATTTGAGGCTGAGTCGACCTAGGAGAGGCCCAGGACCGGTTCAGACAATCGTCACCGGTGTTGGCCGTGAGCGGGAATCGAACTCGGGCCGTCAGGTTTGTATCCCCACACACACGCACACACACACGCAAGCAAGCACACACGCACACACGCACCCACGCAAGCACACACGCACACACGGACAGACGCTGGAGCACAAACTCACCAAGCCACACATCGCCAAAGCAGCCGGAGCCGAGCTTGACGTCGAGCGTGAGCGACTCGCGTAAGATCTCCCACGCGTCCTTGGACAGGCCCTGGGTCTGCGGCACGAAGACAGGGCAGGGCTTGACGAGCCTCCCGCAGAGCCCATCCGCCACATCTGCAGGGCACGCACACGGAGCGCCCGTTAATGCCGTCCATTCGTCCTCCGGTCGGGAGAGGGCGGTGGGAGAGGGGGGGAGGGGTGCACTGCCCTTGGAGCAGGAAAGTCGCGAGTAAATGTTTGTTTCTTTTTCGGGAGTCGACACGTGCCCAGTGCAAAGCTACCGATCGCAATACAGAAGAGGAGCAGCGGGAAGACCGCGAGGAAAAGTCCGGGATCGGAGCGCCGGGGCTCGACAAAGGGGGAAGTTTTGACCGCATGCGACAACAAGAAAGATTATGCGGGGAGGGGAGGATGAGGAGAAAGATGACTAATCTCATAGGAGAAAGGGGGGGGGGGGAAAGTCACGAGTTCTAATCCTGCCACCTCTGAGGTATAATAAACCGGGTGAAATATCGTGGGAACACTCGCAAAGACGAGCCAATGTGAACTACACTTTGAAATGAAGTTGTGTTGCCCTCGGGCACTTTCCCAATTTGAGACATGAACCAGGACAAAAAATGACTTCCTTTGCAAAGACACAACCGCATTCTTCAACACATCAGCTTCAAATACAAATCGTTACATACCGAGGACAAACGCACGTGAGAAAGCCTTACATGATCTACGCATGTGCCTCATTTTTCCAAACTTGTTGAATTTAGCGATCAAGCGAAAAGAGCATCAACTCACTATACTCTTTGGTTCTTTCGGTAAAGTCACGTAGAAAATAAAATACATTAAATCATGACGTTTCGGGCGCAACACAAGCGTCATGAGGTGGGACAACCACAGCAAGAAACAATTGCTCACTTCAGCAGTTGTTTCTTGCTGTGGTTGTCCCACCTCATGACGGACGCTTGTGTTGCGCCCGAAATGTCGTGATTTAATTTATTTTCTACCCACGTGACTTTACCGAAAGAGCCAAAGAGTATGAATCCCTGCAGTCAAGAAAACTTCAAATCTAGATCAACTCACTATGCTTGGGCACCGGGATTTTAACCACAGGTAGCCAACACCCAGCATTTAACTCCGGTATATGCATAGCTGTCAACCCACGCGGTTAACTCGTATTTTTGTACAGGAAAATTGAGTTTTCAGTGCCATACGGCGTACAGCCATTTCAATGCGGGCAAACTACTTTTTTTTGTCTATTTGTTTGTGTTTCTCCCTTGTGATGGGACTTTGTAGGATGAATGTTGCGATGTATAAGGGGCACGGGGTGACCAATAAGGTCTGAATTGTTCTGTGATAAGGTAGGGCACTCGAGATTTGAAGTTTTCGTGACTGCAGGGATCCATACTCTTTGGTTCTTTCGGTAAAGTCACGTAGGTGACTTTACCCCCCACCCCTCCCTCTCCCCCCTTGCTCCTCCCCCTTTCTTACCTATATAACCTCTTACCACGGCAACTCTCTCTCCCACTTCAGCAAAAACAAAAAAATTATTGCTGTGGTTTTCCCACCTGATGATGTTTGCTTGTGCTGCAATCGAAACGTCGTGATTTAATTTATTTTATACCTACGTGACTTTACCGAAAGAACCAAAGAGTAAGGTAGGGCACTGATAAGGGGTTGACAGCTATGGATGTGTATATATTGGCGATGCAGGCTCGGTGCGCTGTTAGCGCCGGTGTGCAAGAGCTTACTGGCGTAGTGCTCCACCAGCTGGTGAATGTGGGCAAAGTGGATCCGGTTGGTGATGTAGAAGCCGCCAGAGTCCAGCCTCCGGATCTTGTAATGCTTCACGGTGTCTCCCTTGATGGGATCGTAGTCCCGGATGGAGAGCGAGTAGGCTCCTGCAAAATGAGCAAACGTCAACGGCCGACGTGGAAGCCACGACACGATACGAACGGGAGTCTCTTTGGAGTTACCGGTGCTGCCACTGCCGCGGTGGCTAGGAGATGTTAACGACCTCGCCTGGTATGCAGGAGGTCGTGGGTTCGATCCCGACCCTGACGATGCCTATATATTCGGAGTTTGCATGTTCTTCCTGTGGTTGCGTAGATTTTTCTCCCCCTCCAGATTTATAATCATGGTGAACTAGACTAAACTAATCTAAACAATTTTTTATTTTACCAGGTAAAGCCCACTGGGCTATGGAGCTCTTTTTCAGAAGTGATCTGGCCACATCACGTGGAAATTTAAAGCAGTCAAATAACTCTAAACGCATGTTTCTAAATCTGGAGGGAAAAACCGGAAGACCCGGAGAAAAATCCACGCGACCACGGGGAGAACCCCACAAGCTCCAACTACACAGCAGGCATTGTCAGGGTCGGGATCGAACTAACGACCTCCTGCATACCAGGCGAGGGAGATAACATCTCGTCCACTGCCAACGAGGAGATGGCCCGGGACAGGACCGAGTGGAGAGAGAGGCAGAGCCCCCCCCCCCGGACCCCCTCCCCCACATGCACGTGCAGGGGGACCACAGTTACAGGTTCAAGGTTTCAGACGCCAAGTCGCCCACTTGCTCACCTTGAGTGGTCTCGCTCTCGCGGATGAGGAACGTCCCGATGGGGTTCGCGGGGTCCATGAGACAGCGATCGGCGTCCTTCCGCGTCAGCTTCCCGAAGAACCACCTTGCGGGGACAGCGCCGAGATCGGCGTAAGGAGGGGGGGGGGGGGGTGCACGGACTTGATGGCACAGCGGCGTCGCGCCACGCACGCTCCCCCCCATGTTGCTAAATCGTCGCCGTTGGGCAGCTGCCGTGTGTGCTGCGTGCTATCGTTGGTGCACACTGCTATTGCTATCGTTACATCCAACACCGAATGATATTGCCGTTGGAACATACTCACCGCACGCTATCGATGAATACACACTGCGCGCTATTGCTACTGATACATCCACACCGCATACTGCATGCATGCTCTGTGCACTCCGTGGTATTGCTGTGTGTACAGTGGTGCACGGGGTGCCTGCGGCCTGCGCCTGCTGGTTGCTACGCAGGTGCTGTGTGACCGGCACGCGTGTGCTGCACTTGCTGCTCACTCTTTGGCCTGCACGGATCCCGCAGGAGCGACGTAGTTGCTGGGGATGTACCCCGTGAGGCCGGACGACATCGAGCTGGCCGTCCACCAGTCATCGTCCCTGCACCACAAAGACGCGGACAAAGTTCCCCCTCTATAGGCATTTATAGACTCTTGGGGCACGTGCTGTTAGCAAGCAGCACCAATGAAGGTCGGCACGGCACACGAGGAAGGTGGGAGGCCAGGTTCTAAAGTGCGCTCAGTTGATGGTTTCAGCCAATGCCTGCACAGAATTATATCACATTAAACTAAGTTAAGTGCATAGTTCAGCTATATACATGTCTTTAGAATGATTAGTTTAACTGCCATGTGACAAACATTGCTCTTCGTGGCACAGAGCAGGTGGGTTAAACACTGCCCTCTCTACTGCCTGGAATCGAGGGCGCTTGAACGGATCTCAAGAGGTGGAGCTCTGTGGTGCCCACTTCCGCAGGCTGATCCCAAAACAACGAAAGCGGTTGCGTGTGCCTGCACGAGGTCCCGATGGCTACATTTTGTCTCACGAGGCGGACAGAGCAATTGGGATAACGTTGCGGAAAATAAATTATTAAAAAATAAGAAGTCTTGAGACAAAAATGAAAAAAAACCTCCCAAGCCCAGTGCCCTATGTGAGCCTTCATTTGTTATAACCGTGCAAATAAACATGAGTGTGGATACACACAAACGCACCCCTGAATGGACACGCACACACGATGCGGCGAGTTTGCAGCCACGTGCGGGGCACACGCTGACACGCGAATTAACCGCAACAGAGCACACACGTGATACAATTACACCGGTAAACTGTGTAACTTGGGAGCGCGTGAAATGACGACCTTGGTCGGATGGGAACAGAAAACTACAGCTGGAATGATTGAGATGAGAGGCGAAGGAAGGCGGTTTGAGATTTTGGCGGAAATCTGATCACCAAGAGATGCAACACCTTGAACCGCAGCCTATTGCCTCCCCAAACAAACTACAATAGTTTCACATTTCCAAAAATAGCAAGTGCGAAATTCAGAGTTGTGTAGTGCGTCTAGCTGCTGCTTGGCTGAACGGTGAAATTCATTAAGCAAAAGTCATTCATTATGCAACCGTATTCTTGGTTCTTTCGTTAAAGTCACGTAGGTAAAGAAAATAATAAATAAAAATAAAATAAAAATAAAAGATAAAAATAAATAAAATTAAATCACAACGTTTCGATTACAACACAAGCAATCGTCATCAGGTGTGAACACTACAGCAAGAACATTTATACTGAAGTGGGAAAGATGCCAGGAGGCTAAATTAGTCAAAGAGGGGGGAACGGGGGGGTAGGGAGTGAGGGGAGGGCGCCTCGTGGAGGGGCGAAGTAGGCAGGGCCAGAAGCGAGAGATGCGCGGGGAGGAAACAAGAGAGCGACGCGGCTACGAACTGCAGCCAAAACCAATGAGGGCACCCAAAGCAAAATAGCAGCACTGCTAAACCGTCTTTCAAAAAATATAAATCCGTGACATCGTGTGGTTCAGATGAAGAGAACCCTCACTCACGAGTTGATTATTTGAAATTTCTCGCCCTTCTTGAAACTCAGGTCCTCAGGGGTCCTCGCATTGTAGTCGAACAGGGCCACGAAGAACGTGACTCCCTCTGTCAGAGCACACAGACACAGGTCTCACAATTAGAAGGCAGAGAGGGAGATGTGGCATATTGACATATATACACACAGCTGATTCGTGCTGCAGTTAAAATGTGCCTCACAATCTTTTTCCCTGTCTTTTTTGGCCCAATATTATCATAATTGTGTTATCCGCCACGTAATGGGACGAAGTACCCTTTGGCATCTCTCAAAGAGTGGTAGAACCCTCCGTGTTCTACCACTGAAGTGAATATCTGAAATCCATTTAAGTGGCCTCTTACTCTTAGTTCTTTCGGTAAAGTCGCGTAGGTAAAAAATGAAACTAAAATTAATAAAAATAAAATAATAAAATCACGACGTTTCGGAGGCAACACAAGTCTCCGTCATCAGGTGGGACCGATGCATCAAATGCAGCAAATCTGGCTGTGACGGTCCCACCTGATGACGGAGACTTGTGTTGCCTCCGAAACGTCGTGATTTTATTATTTTATTTTTATTAATTTTACTTTCATTTTTTACCTACGTGACTTTACCGAAAGAACTAAGAGTATGAATCCTTGCAGTCACGAAAGCTTCAAATCTAGAATTAAGTGGCCTCTGTTCCACACAGAATGCCGTCGAACTTTACCACCCACGCTGCCACAGAGAACACAGTTTAACCCACGACAGCGAAAGCAATGTTTTTGAATTCTCAAGCGAGCTGCAATTTAGCCAAATGAAATGCGGAACCGAGTTACAATTTCACTGCGATGGATTTTTTGCTGTTGCTGTTCAGTCAGTGGTGAGCAGGCTGAGGGCCACAAACTCGACACTTTACCACGTGGGATCTCAGCAGTGCCAGCTCAGCACTTTGACCTCTGGGCCACCTGGCCACCTCCATGTTTCCCCATTTTAAACGAATTTTTTTATTTTATTTTGCCAGGTCAGGCCCACTGAGCTGTTAATTGGCATGTTCTGCCCGATGTCCGACACGGAGGCGCACGCATGTCATGCAGCGCTTTTTGGCGGCAGGGATTAGTGGACAACGCAAAGATCATCGACTGCTGTGAGACTTGCTGGGCTGTGAGGGGGTGGCTGGTCGATGGCAGGAGAGCAAGTAGGTTCCTCATGGATTGTGATTGGTATTCCTATGCACACGTGGGTTTAATTTGGTTTCTCATCACATGCAACACTAATTATAAGCTAAACTAAACTATTTTTTATTTACCAGGTAAAGGCCACTGAACTATGTAGCTCTTTTTCGGAAGCGACCTGGCCACAAATGATAGCTCAACGAAGTGGCTTATCGTGTGCACATTTACAGCAGCCAAATACTCTCCATTCATGTTTCTAAACGTGGAGGGAAAAACCGGAGGACCCGAAGAAAAATCCACGTGCCCATGGGGAGAACATGCAAACTCCAAATATACAGGAGTATGGGTTGGGATCAAACCCACGACCTCCTGTACACCAGGCAAGGGAAATAACACCTCACCACATTGGCGCCCAAAGGATGACTGTGAGATAAAATCCTCGACGGTCATACTTATATCACACTATGTAACACAATTTTTGTTCTTGGGTGATACGTCTGCTCATAAAACAACTGCAACGGACTTCTCTCCAAGTGCTGCTCACTTTATTTTATGGACTTGGAAGGAATGATAAAACTGTGTAACACATTCTTTTTTGTTCTGGGGTAGTAAGTGTTATTTTGTAATTGCTTATGCCTAAAAATGGCTATTATATCCCACAAATTTTGCTTTTGTGACCAGGACAGTGATATTTAGAAATTTACCTATTTTCCAGAACATTCCAGATAGATTCAGTGCTGAGTAAACTTGGAGTAACTTCTAGAACATTATTTCCAGTAATATAAATAGTAGCATAAATACAGGGGCCTTAAGCCCACTGGTTCAGTTTAGTTCCAGCTGCCTAAGTGGACACATCTGCATTTTTCTGAAATGGCATCAAGAGGCTTGCAAGCATCCGGCAGACGCATTTTGCTATGTCTGTGGAAGCATCTGCTAAGATGTGTGAGGCCTACAAGGCTTATGTCGGCATGCCTGTCGGGGATCATTCCTTCCGAGTCCATAAAATAAAGTGAGCACCACTTTGTGAGAAGTCCGCTGTGGTTGTTTTGTGAGCAGACTTATCACCCACAAAGGAATTGCAGAGTTTTCAGCACTGGCAAGGGCTGCTAAAACAAATGAATACTAACTGCACGTCCCTCTTTGCAGTGATCGGAGGGACACTTTGAATTTCAGAAATGTAAAGGAAAAAAAATCCTAGTTTTCATTTTCAGCATTGCGGCCGCAAATCCAATGTTGATCACTAACAAAGCGAAAGCATCGCCACACTCGAAACGAGCCTTGGGTGGTGCTCATTCCCATTGCGAATGCCGAGCCAGTGGTGGAAACATTCCAAATGTATGCCATGGGACCAGTTCGAGTAATGGGAAAATAAGTGCCGACTTCTCCCCCAATTGCTGCCATCCTTGCCAAACCTATGGGATGCAGATTAGAATGTTGTTGTTGATGATGAAGATGATAATAATAATAAGTGGCACCAATGGCCATAACGCCATTATTTAAGCAGCTTCACCAACTGTTTTCAACAAACAAAAGTGCCTCCGTAGACGAATAGGTTTTACCCTTCATGGCAATAAAACAGGTGTTAAGATGTTAAAACACCAAACGGAAACCTTTTTTCAATGGATCATGTCTGCACATGCAAACAAAAAGTGGCCAAAAAAACTTTGTTCGGTAAAAAGTCTCTCCGCGTTGCTGCTCCACGTTTTTTATTAGAATGTCCTCGCAGCTCATTTTCAGCTTGGTTCCCTCCCTTCACTCTCCCTCTCGACTTCCCCATTAAACCAACACGCAGAGCTGACCTGCAGCCGCACCTCACACTTTCTGGCGCCTCTTGCTCTCATAGTATGTCACCGCCGTTGTTTTTCTTGATTGGTCGCGTCATTCGTTTACGACCGTTAAACGCCTCGCCCGCCAGTCGCGCGCTGTTCCTCAGGGACCCTGCACTCGTTCTCGGCAACGTTGATATTTTTGTCCTTTTTTGGTTTTGTTGTTGTCACTGCTGCGCTCGCGCAACCACGGATCTCCCCCGGGGGGTGAAATAGCCGGGCAACCGGCCCATCTGTTGCAACGAATCAAATAAAACTAAAAATTTAAGGCTAACATGGTGCACACACGTGTGATGCAGTCAGCAGGAGCAGCACGCGCTGGAATCTTCCATCTCCCCCAGTGTTCCCGTCACACATCACGGACTCATTTCCGGCACCGAATCAGCCCGGGTGAGAGGCTGAGTGCAGGTTCAGTCGCCGCGCGGGCAACCGGCTCAACGGGATGATCCGTTGCAACATATCAGAATAAAGTAACGTAGGTATGAAATAAAATCAATCACGACGTTTCGAGCGCAACACAAGCGTCCGTTGTGATTTATTTTATTTTCTACCCACGTGACTTTACCGAAAGAACCAAAGAGTATGGATTGCTGCAGTCACGAAAGCTTAAAATCAACAAATCAAAATAAACTCTAAATCCTACAGCAAATACACGTGAACAGCCCTGAGGAGTACCACTTGGTTAAAAAGACAACGTACAAGTGATTACGACCTTTGCCTGCGTCCTCTGTGCTATAATCAACCACTGCGAAGTCACTACCAAATACCTTGTCCGCAATAGTTAACGTTTCAATGCCGAGGTTGTCACCCGCTCAGACAAGGCGCAGAGCACCTTTGCGTACATTCATAATACTGGTGGAAAAACCCATTACAGCGGATCTCCCTGAGGACCTGCACACCACACCCATGTGTTCGTTAAGTACACCTCGCAGTGATGAATCATAGAAAGTCAACCTGGTATTTTGCGCACGTTTAGTTTGTGACTAATGGCTGTGTAAGTGCGGAGGCAGGAGATGTAACATGCGACGAGCTGCGTGTGCAATCTCCACGGCCAGAATTCCTGTGCGAAACAATTCCTTTCCTCAGTCACGCATTTATAAGCTCTAACCTCCACTCGTGATCCTGGGCCGATGTTGGAGATTCCACATTCCCATGCCCGGGACCAGTATATCCACGGGACGACCACGGACGGCTTCCCATAAATTATCACTCGTTTAATCGACCCTGGGTGGATGGACGCTTGGCCGAATTGAACACCGAACTTGCGACGAGACAAACTGATCGCAGCACCACTCGGCCGGATCTTTATAGCTTCACGAACGTTGTTTATTTGAGCCGCCTGGGCTTTAGCACGAGGCCTAAATTCCAGATTGGCGGCAACGCAACTACAACAGCAGACCATGATGGCCAGCTACAGATCGTGCAACAGCTGGGGGTTATGGCGATTGTTGGAGTGCAGTGGCATCAATGGCACTTGGCTGTGATGACTGCATGACCTCGACTGTCACGAAAAACAAAGCCTTATCAAAGAACAATGCATCACAAACTACACATTTTTATCTTACCAGATAAAGCCCACTGAGCTGTATGGCTCTTTTTTCAGAAGCGACCTGGCCACAAACGATAGCTCAACTAAGTGGCGTATCGCATGGAAATGTATTGCAGCTAGATAATCTCAACACATGTTTCTAAACGTGGGAGGGAAAAACCGGAGGACTCAGAGAAAAATCTACGCGCCCATGGGGAGAACACGCAAACTCCAAATATACAGCAGCAGGCGTCATGGTCAGGATCGAACCCACGACCTCCTGTATACCAGGTGACGTAGTTAACACCTCGCCACCGTGGCGCCAGAATTACCTCCATGATGACAGCTTGTCTCCATGGTACTCGAGCTGGCTCTGTGATGGGAGTGAACATCATCGTCAGGGCAGCCGTGGTCAAGCGACTGACTCGCTCGCTCGCTCGCTGACCATATCCACTACCCTCGACACATGGACGTGAATCCGTCTCAAGCACCCAGGAAGGCCGCCCGTGCCGTCCGACACCGCTCACCTTGGTAGTGGCTGCGCTGGCTGGACAGCGTGCCCGTGAAGGGCATCATGGAGCCGCCCATCATCATTCCGCTGGGCTGCGTGGGGCACGAGATGTTGGCGCCCTGGTAAGTGCCGGGGCTCGACATCTGCGGGACGGCGCAGCTGTTCTGCACGATGTAGGCGTTGCCCGCGCCGTAGCGGCAGCGCTCGTTGCCGGCGTGCGCATCTTGCCGGCAGTCCACGGCCGACGACTCGTCGCTGTCCTTGCTCTTGGCACAGCCCATGTCGGCGGCGTTTCCTGCGAGCCCGAGCCGAGCGTTCAATCGCTCGTTAGTTCGTTCGCTCGCCATTTCGCCCCTCCTGCGGCGGGAGAGGCTACCGCGTGCGTTCGTCACACGCGCTCCGGGTCAGGTGGCGCTGCCTCAACGAGGTGGTCATTTGTCAACCACGGGGAGATGAAGGTGAAGGCAATGAGGAATCGGACACCGATGCTGATGCCTCAGCTGATTTCACTCTCTCCAGGATATGGTCTGACAATCTGCGTATATTTTTAGTGTAATTTTCCCCAACTGCATGTATGTTGAACTTCTTTTGCATCATATGTATCCAACAGTGCAAATGAGATGAAAGATACGATCAGATACTTCAAGTCGCAGTGCAAACCTTTTCGTTAAAGAATGGCCCACGGAATGATACACCACAGAGCTGCCTCTGAAATCCCTTCACACAGAATGGTACAGCACCTTCCCACTCGCTCTGCCATGACCAGTAATTGTCCGTCACATGACAGCCAAACCGAAATGTTTTAATTCTCAGAGCTGAAATTTAGAACCAAATTTAACGTGATAGGTTTTTGTACAGTCGCTGGTAACCACACTGAGACCATCACCTGCCTACGCCTGAGAACCCAGTTTCATCACAAGTGCCTGCTTGTATTTGGACACCATCTCGGCGATGCCGGCTCGGTGCTGGGATGACCTACGGGCCACGCACCAACCTAACGAGCTCACGATCTTACGATTGGGAACTTCGCTACTCTCAAAGTTGGTGTCTCATATGAGTTTGGGGAAATTCTGATCGCAGTTTTAACTTTTTTTTTATCACCAGTTAAGGACTTGGCTGTCACACATGATAGCTCAACGAAGTGGCTTTTCACGTAGAGATTTATTATGTCAGTCAACGCATGTTTATAAAAATGTGGGCAAAAACCGGAGGACCCAGAGAAAAATCCACGCAAACCACGGGGAGAACACGCAAACTTCAAAATATACAGCAGGCATCAGAGTCGGGATCGAACCCACGACCTCCTGCACACCAGGCGATGTAGTTAACATCTCCTAGCCACCGTTGGCAGCCCTGAGCCAGTGCTGGAGCTACCCCTCCCTGCAGCGAAGGCCTGCGAGTGGTGTACATATTGTAGGCAGGCGCTTCCATGACTGACCTGGCGGAGCCACGCGGAATCCCAACGGGCTGTGAAGACTCGCAAACCCGCCGGGCTGCCAAAATAGACGAAAGTCAAAAAACTTTCGTCTGTCTCCGTGATCAAAATAGCCATGGGGGGGAGGGGGAGGGGGGGAGAAGATTGCTGGGTGGCTCGAGAAGTCACGGGCACAGATGCGATCCTCGGTTCGAATCCCGGCAGCCGCCCGCAATGAAAGTGGGTTCTCAAGTGCAGCGAGTTGGTGGCTCAGCGCGGTGACTAGTGAGTCGGTGTAAACGCTCCATCCTGTTACATTTTGATCTACAATTAATTCCGCCTCATAGCAACGATTGGCATGCGACAAACACCCTTGGCAGGAAAAATGATTAGGTGATGTTGCTGCTTCGTTGACAGTGGTACACAAGCACAGTGAACCACAAAAAAACACCCCACACTCTTCAACAACACTGTGGCCTTCAGAAGAATAAAGGAAAAATCTGCAACGTTTCAGGCCATGGCTCTCGAGTGGATTATAAGAGCTGGAGACGGCACTTAGCACCGTGGGGCCTGATGAGAATTACATTTTAAAATGTTTTGTGATGATCAGTTTTTAAATAACCAGATGAATATAGTAGCTACTGAGTACCAGAGAAACCCTTCAAGGACCCAGCGTGCTACGTATGTATATATGTTCGTACGGAGCCAACCGAGCTAATCGTCGGTGCGGAGGAAGGGAAATAAACTAAACACAAATGGCAATTCTACAGAAATAAATTTTCTATCCAGATGTAAAAGTGCATCACTCCGATGGCTTCATAATGTCGGAAGGAAGAGCGCTACAGACTGTCTATGTTCGATGGCCAGCCGAAAGCTGCCGCTACTGCGAGGGTTGACCGGTGTTTGTGTTACGACAAAATAAAAGCGTTTACATGCACTGCCAGGGCGGCCCCGTCTTGTTTGTCCTCACAAGAACAAATCTTCCTAAAGTGCAGTGACGGCAACCTTTTATAATTTAACTTAACACGCAGGCTTTCGCGACCAATATTATCCATGAAAAGAGGTTTTTGGATTAGATCGCATAAATATAAATGTGCCATTAAACACGCCACCACCCGACACAGCCAATTAGTAAAAAAAATTTAGATGTTGTGGGTTTACTCTCTAACAAAACAGTGTGCTGTACAAGTAACGATTTGGCACGTTTTGTTCTCGTAACAAACCTTACTAATTGGCTGTGTCGGGTGGTGGCGGGTTTAACGCCACATTTATATTCACGCGATCTAACCCAAAAAAAACTCTTATGGATATAATGTAATGTATGAGTTTATTTAGTATTGTGGGGTCCCACGTTTGCATTCATTAGCATGTTCTACCCACTGTCCGACGCGGAGCCACACACCCATGTCATCCACCGCTTTTGGGGGCACGGATTGGTGGACCCCACAGAGATAATCGACTGCTGTGAGACTTGCTGGGCTGCGAGGGGGTGGCCGGTAGATGGCAGGAGAGCAAGTGGGTTCCTCATGGATTGTGATTGGTATTCCTGTGCACACGTGGCTTTTATCTGAGTTCTCGAGTTCCGTTCATCATAAGCAAGACGATTGCTTGTGTTGCGATCGAAACGTCGTTATCTATTATTTTTATTTACGTGACTTGCCCGAAAGACCCAAGAGTATGAATTCCTGCAGTCACGAAAGCTTTAAATCAAGATTTAGATCATTGTACTTACCAGCCTTTGTCAATCCACTGCTGGATGAAGGCCTCCCCATGTCGTGTCGGCGTACGGCCTAATGTCCCTTTGTACCAAAGCGGTAGCAATAATACAGATTAGGAATGACGAATTAAGGATCTAAATACAACCAAATTACAATTAAGGGGCCGTCCATAAATGACGTCACGCGATTTTGGACGATTTTTGACCCCCCCCCCCTCGTCACACGGCGTCACAAAAAGTCAGACCCCCCCTCAAATATGACGTCACAAAGCACTGCCCCCCCCCCCCAAAATAAAATAAAACATGCTTCAAATCGCTTTAAACTATTGTCATTGTAGTGCGTATTTAATGTGCCACTGCACTCTGATGTTGGAGGAGAAAACATTTATTAAAAAGTCTATTTAATTAAGTAGAACGTGTTGTCTATATTTATTTAAAGTTGCGCATTTTGATGAGACGTCACATTTCTCAAACCCCCCCCCCCTCGTCACACATCGTCACAAATGTCTAACCCCCCCTCCCCCAGGTGCGTGACGTCATTTATGGACGTCCCGTAAGGAGTGAACAGGGGGTCATTTAATATTGTGCTCACAGTGCATGTGCTGTACACCATCAAATCTAAGTGCATGAATAATCATTTATTAGGTGAATATAATAACGTACACTTCTCAAGGAGACTGATCTCTAAACCTGAGATAGTCAAGAGTTACTTCCCAAACGTCTTTCAGTCAGCACGATATCACATGTTAGGGGACGTCAATTAGAAACTAGGCCAGAAAACCACTTCTGGACTTGCTCAAAAGGCAATCACAACACCTCGCTGATCTCGTCCAGGAGCATCAACCATCACGTGAACTCCGGTCATCCCCGCAGCAGCGGCGGCTTCTAGCTGGCCATCGAACAAAGGCGGTCACCGCATCGCGTGACGCTTTCAGATGCGCTTCTACGGCCGTCTGGAACGCTCTTCCTTCCGATATTAAGAACACCAATGGAGCTCTGCACTTTTACACGTAGATTGAACACTCATTTCTTTAAAACTGCTTTTTGTGTTTAGTTAGTTCCCCTTCCCCCGCACCTCCGATGAGAACGGTTGGCTACGTACGATGCGAAAGAAGTCCAACACACATGCGTACATTAGGAGGAGCGGTTCTCCGTGTGTTACATGCCCCTCAATTGCACAGACGGAGTTCCGACACAAATATGAATGTAGTTCCATGACTTCTCCATGACAATTTGCTGGTTTTTCATTGCCGACATTCTTTAATGTTTAAAAGGTCGGCAAGTTGGATCTGTAACACCGGGGGAATATTGATCACATTCATGACAACATTGATCAACATTTCACGATGGCCTCTTTGTCCTCAGCCACCTGTTCCACCCACTTTAACTCAACAGCCTAATAAGCAAGTCCAGGCAGGTTTAACTAAACAAGTCACCCAGCTACTAATGGTTAAAGACAGCAACAGACACATAAAGGCGACTAATTATACGTTTCAATTGGCCTCGTGAAGAATCTTATCTTAGCAAAATGTATATAGCACCTTCACAAAGATGCTTTACAAAGGATTAACAATGGCACAACGTATGAATGCCATGGTGGAGATGCGGTGAATGAAATAGATGAGAGGAAGCAATGGCAAAAATCTGTAAAAAGTGTGATTTCGGTGAAAGCGAAATTAATGACAGTAAATGATGACGATGATGAATGGATTGAATGAATGGGGAATTCAAAAACACCCTGAAGGTCAACAACAACAAAAAATACACACTTCTGAATACAAAGCAGATCACATGTCACCTATAATTATATTGAAGATGCACCCCCCGCCCCTCTCCCCCGCCCCTCCCCCCGCCACTCCCCCACCCCCACGTGCTCTGCGTGTGTGCATGTCCGCTGGTACCAGCGGTGTCAAGATCGGCCTCAGTGGAGGAGGCTCGTGAAGGACGCTGCTGCTACTGGGCAGTTGGAGGCAGTCGCCCTCCAACAACAACAGAGGGCGGAGGAGCGATGCTCACAACAGCGCCAGGTGGCTAAAGCACAGCAAGTTGGCACAGTAGGGCGCACAGGTGGTGCATCAGCCAGTCATCTCGGTCATCTCAGTCAGTCGACCCGTGGCACCTGCTGGGTCTGCCCCGTGACCTCCTGCCAGCGGGCGTTCGACACTTCACGTGGCCTCAAGGTGCACATGGCCTGGCACAGGCGTCGTGGTGACGTCACCGCCATTTAGTGGCGAATGGCGGTTGTTGTTGTTGTTGGGATAGAACATGGCGACAACTTGATACGGTGAACACTCCACTTGCAAGACGCTCGTGTTCCAGAAGCCACCTCACCGACCAGGCACCCTCGCGACAAGATGGACTAAGAAGAAGGGGCCGTTTCAATTTGTCTGCGCTCGTTCACGGACACCGCTCGAGTTTACAAACGCAAAATAAATTACATTTTAGGCCTACCTAATGCTATATACATATCCAAGTGCACAATTATGTCATTGTAAAATTGCTTTATGCGTATGAATACAGTTCCCTAGATATTTGCTGGCCGCTTCGGGAAAATTGTACTGCATAACAATCGTGCACCTAGATTGTCAAATTATTACATAATGACAAAGAGTCCCCCCCGGATAGCCTCTAACAAGCTGTTGGGGCAAGTGCCGTTAGAGAGCACCTATGAAGAAGGCACCCAAGGCGGTGGAGGTGTGGTCAGAACCTTTGTCTCCCCACCAGGTACTGGACACAGGTTACTGGACATCTGTTATAAAGAGATTCAGAGCTCATCTTCTTCAGAGCTCATCGGATTTCTCTAGGGTAAATAAAGATTGTGATTACCAGAGGACATACACAGCAGACAGCTGTAGACGCCTAGCGAACAAGAGGACGTTAGTATAGCCCTGGCAACAAAGGGTGCCACACCTTTTCAGTCTTAAGAGTTTTCAACAAGGGCATTTTTAGTCCGGTAGGATAGAAGTTCAGGTCTTCAGACAGTGACCGACCGCCACGTGATAGAGTTGCCGCCAACATGAGTACTGCAACAGTGAAAAAGGTCTGAAAGTGTGTAGTTAAATCCATATTTAGAGAAATCAGCAAACTGGAAGATTGCCAAAGCCATCATTCTAAAAATCCAGCAATCTGAAATGGTTACCTGGGGTGAAATTTCAATGATTTTTTTTACCATTTTCTTTTATTTTCCATTACTTTCCACGACAAACATTTTTCCAAGGATTTTCCATGACCGTGGGAACCATGCGACACGTGCTGGCATTACTCAGATATGGTCGACAATTTAGACAGATGCTGTTGATGTCACCACACTATGCCCGATCGCCTTCATTTTGCCCATTCTCTCAAGTGTTCCATTGTTAACACCTGACATTCAAGGTCCAGTCATCAAAATTATCGTGATCCTCACAACCACCTATCTGATTTCAGGTGTTCTACTTGGTTTATGAACTGTGGGTGACACTGCAAGCCTGTCTCAGTAATCTGCCATCCTTTACTGCACACAGGTCTCACCGCTCAAAACGTCATCCTCCTGATTACATCCGCAACGAATGCGGCTCCATGTTCTATTCCCAACTCAAATTTCCAAACCTAATGACGTTTCGAAGGCTATGAAGCTTCATTTGCAGTTGCTTTGTTAAAGTTCAGCTTTCTGAGATGTGGAGTAATGCAGACATTACTTCTTCATCAAAACGCACAATTTCTGAACCTGAAACCAAATTTCGACGACGAAGTTTGCACTTTCTTTTGCGACCGAACTGCGATAATAAATCTCACCAAAGCACTTGTTGAGTACCTGGCTTAACCGTGGCTGTCTACCACGAATCGAGCCTGCGATCACGGCACTGCCAAGCTCTGTGACGTGACGCCCAGCCACGGCCGTGTGTTTTTGTTTGTTTAGTTCCCTCCCTCTGCAAACCGGGAGTCAAGAGTCGATGGAATTCTGTGCACAACGACTGGGCGTCGGTGCGAGCACCTCACCTGGACCGATGCGCGAGCTGGGAGACGAAGCTTCTTGAGCAGAAAAAAGTCACTCGGGGGGCTGGAGAGAGACGCACACAGCAAGCCTTCGGCCCACTCAGCACTGGATATCAGCGCAGCCCAGCCTGCAGAGACACGCGCACGCACGCGACCGCGCAAGGCGCAATTAAGGCATCCGTCCGTTCATTAGGCACGTGGTTGTTCGCATGGGGGAAGAAGAAAAAAACAAGAAAGAGAAGTGGCTCGCTGGCAGCAGCTGAGAGCGAGGTTGATTGAAGGCGCACTCTCAACAGACGCCGTCGCTCGTCCTGAGCGAGGGGGGGCACTTACTGGGGTTTGCTCTGTAGAATTCATTAGCCAGAAATCGCTTTCCATCACTGTCAAAAACGAGCGAGAGACTACATCATGGGACCTCCTTTGCCAGTACCACGAAAGAAAGCTGTCTCTGGTGTGGACCAATCAGTTTCAAAGACAATGCATATATTATCAGAGTACGTTTTCTGTTTGCATTCTGACCACAAGCATCGTGGTTAATGCATACATGATTCCTCGTAAAAGGTTTCAGTTTGATGTTTTAACATCTTAACACACCTGTTTTGGGGCCAGACAAAAAGGGGAAACCCTATTCTCACGAGCGAGAGAGTTGAACATGCGTGATGCACCCTTCCCTGAGCCGGAAGGGGGGGGGGAATAATCAACGCCCGATGAACATTTTGTCGGATCATGTCGACTTCTAGCCTCACCATTGCCGAGCCGCTGGTAATTTGGGCGTTCGACCTTTCCGCTGCAAGTATCTTTTTTTCTGTCTTTCGTTCACATTTTAGCGGAACGCGTGGACCGGAGAAGAAACGTAAGTCAAGGACATGCCGATCGTGAACGAAAGGGAACAGAAACTCCGCACACGGAAACTAGAATTGGTCGTGGGCAGGGGCCGTACGGTGAGCGGGGGTTGAGGGCTAAATCAAGTGGGGGGACCCACATGCAGGGACATGAGGATTTACATGGGAGGGAAATAGGGGGGCACGTGGGGAAAGGTGACTAACATACTGGGGGGGGGGGGAAGCCAAGGGGTTAGCGGAGAGGGAGTGACGGGGAGAGAGGGTTAGGAGGGTAGCAAGGGAAACCCTTCAAATAAAAAATAATGTTCGCTCGGCGTATGAGCTTAAGCACCACCCTCCCACCGGCTCAATGATCCGCTGACGGTGGTCCCCATCTCCCGGGCCTCGTCGCACCGCGCCCCTCATTTTAGGCTTTGTAGGAAGGGTGAGGTAGGGGGGGCCACCTGGTCTCAAACCCCCCCTCCGTTCCCTCCCTTGAAGCTCGATGGCTTTGAGTGCTCAATCTCCGCTTTGGGCGATAAGGGTGTCCGCGCCACTGTTTCCGCGACAGCGGCGGTGGGCGTTCACGATCTTTCCACTCAGCCAGTACGACCTCTCCTGGCCGTAGCATTAAAGGTTTGAAGGAGAGTGAGCGCGTTGATGTTTCGGCAGGGCGTGCGAGTTTCAAGCCCCCCCTCCATCCCCACCATTATATCGACTGTTCATATGACGGATATGTGAAGGAGAGTTTAACACGTAGGCTTTTGCGACCAATATCATCCATAATAATAATTGGGTAAAATATATATGTGTAAAATTTACGTGATCTAACCAAAAAAACCTCCATTATGTGAGACCGTTGCTAATTTATTTTGTCATTTAAATTCTCCATAATGATGATTTACGATTATTTGGAGTTATGTGTTCTATAATTTCGTGTCAAACTGGGAACCCGTAAGGGGATGGCTCCTTCCTTATGAGATCGCCAGTTCACCGCCATTGATTGAAGCGAGCCAGACTCTTCCCGATGAGACACCTCGAGCCGAAACCGGCTTCAGGAGACATTTAGTCTGCGTCTGTGTTTGCTCCTGAATATAGGACTGCAGAGCTTGGAGTGGAACTTGGGGCATTAAACTGCCCGGATGCCACCTTTCCCACTTGTCTGTGGTTCCTCCTCGCACCTCCGAGTCAACCTCTCTTGTTCAAATTATTTTAATTCTATAAAAATGTTTCACGAAACCCCAAAGCGATAAAGGCCTTATGCGACGCCTATTTTCCACACAGCGGCAAAGTGTACAGTGCAGCAGTCACTCTTCCAATGAAATCAAACCGCAAACTCTTGACAAGACTTTAAGAAACATTCACAGCATGCTCAAGCACAGTGCACGACTTCATTACAGGCCCTGACACAGCGGGACTGCAAAGTAGAGCAGTGCTCCTTTTTACACGCTTTCATCATTTAACTCACTCGGTCTGTTGTCGTTATTGTTGTTGTTGTCGTATCCTCAAATCTTGTAACTCAATTTTAACCCACTTCCCAATGTGGTATCGACTGTGAACTTGGTATACTTATGTCATACTGATGACAAAACAATATTCTATCATAAAAAATATGTTTTTAAACATTCTTTTTTCTATGTTATGTTTCGGCTTGGGTCTAAGTGTCCACGCTCAACTGACGTTGGCTGTAACTTACCACGGTCCGTTACGTTATGGCAGGCTTCGGGGCCACTTCCTGGAGTCGTGGAGTTCTGCCATTACGAGTACATTTCATAAAAGTGTGTTTAAAAAAAATAATTAAATATAACTTATTTTATTGACTCCGAATGGACTGATGGACTTAACTGGCCCCTTACCGGGATATGAACTCACAACTTTTCAGGCCGTGAATCATTAAAGCGCGACTCCTATTACTGGAATTTACGCATGGAATAAACTCCCCTTATCTGCACGTGTGGATAATAGGATACATTTATTTACCGCCTCTTCCAGGTGCCTCCTCTCATTCGCGACAATCTCGCGGATAATGAGAAAAACGTAACGCTGACTCGGTCCTGGACGAGCATAGAAACACGGGAGGGGATTGGCCACTTCGCCCCTCTAGATCCGCAAGCGGCAGTGAAAAATCGCGAGCGAGCTCAGCGGGTGATCGCGTAGGGCGGGAAATTATGGAAGCGCTAAGGGGCCGTCCATAAATGACGTCACGCACCTAGGGGGGGGGGGGTCAGACATTTGTGACAATGTGTGACGAGGGGAGGGGGGATGTTTGAGAAATGCGACGTCACATCAAAATGCGCAACTTTAAATAAATATAGACAACACGTTCTACTTAATTAATAAAAAATGTTTCCTCCCACAACATCAGAGTGCAGCGCCACATTAAATACGGACTACAATGACAATAGTTTAAAGCGATTTGAAGCATGTTTTATTTGTTTAGGGCGGGGGGGCAGAGTTTTGTGACGTCATATTTGAGGGGGGGTCTGGCTTTTTGTGACGCCATGTGACGAGGGGGGGGGTCAAAAATCGTCCAAAATCGCGTGACGTCATTTATGGACGGCCCCTAAGCGGAGATTATCAGAGGACCAAATTCAAATTGATGGTCGGCGGGAGGCTGATGAAGAGACCTCGCACGGTGAGAGATGGTCCAGTGCCAAATGGATGATTTTAAAGGCCCTTATAACACCACTACTATGTATATTATTGGTTCTTTCGGTAAAGTCACGTAGAAGGGAAATAATAAAATTAGAAAAAAAATACAATAACATTTTCAAGACGTTTCGGCCACAACGTTGTGTGCCACACTCCTCTTAACCGTTGGATAAATGCAGACAATAGAAAGAAATCAACCTGTGAATAATACGAGTCTTTATGAACTGATTCGTGCCACGGATAAACGGAGTCGTGAATAAGAGGAGTGCAGATGTGGGACATTGAACTGTACAGTGCCACCAAGCCTGACTACAAATGGCCACATCGAAAAATGATCGATTGCATTCTCGGTAAATGTGTTGTACAGAGAAGGGGGAAAGGATATGGTGGGTGGGAACATGCGACCTCATGCTCCGATAGCAATCACCACAGTGCGCACACTGTACCGCGCTCAAACGTGAGTGCACATACGTGCAAACAAGTTATTTTTATTTTAAAAAATTTAAAATATATACCACAAGAAGGGAGGGCGCCTTCACACGGCCGGTGTGTGCGTGTAAAAGGCACGGGGGTCACAACGAGCCGCCTAAGATATGATGTCGAATTGGAAAACTCGGCAAGAAAAACCAATACAACATAAAAAAATATTAATTTAAAAATATTAAAAACTTCGGCAACTTCTCCATCGGTTCAAGCGCTGCGGGAAAAGAAGAAAAACAAGTGTCTCCGCGCGCAGTCGCATCGGTTTATTAAACGAAACATTATTTGGGACGTTGACGTTTTGGCCCCCATTCCAGGCTTGCGATTTCACGAGGAAATTGACGGTGGAAAAGGCGACGCTCGGGTCAAGGGAACGAGGGGGCCCGTGTCTTAATCGCCACACTTGCCCCTGTGATTAACAATCTACACAGCAGCATGCCCGCCTAGCCACACACTGTAGGAAATGTGGCAGTGGCTAAAATAAATGCGATAAGATGTGGTCATTTGCGAAGCCAGCATGTTTTTTTTTTATTGCTCGGTACGCTCGGTTGTGCTGCCGACCTTGATGAGGATCCTTACTTGTATCCGTCGCTGGTGCGCAAGTTCCACATTCACGTGACGGAGCTCTCCGAAGACCGGCTTGACTCCCAACCGGGATGTCAACTTGTAACCTCCTGAGTGCGAGTTAAGCGCCCGGCACTCGGACGAAAGCACCTAAGCGCCAGAAGCAACGGGAGAGACTAATTATTTCGATTTAAAGCTTTCGTGACTGCAGGGATTCATCTTCTTGGTTCTTTCGGTAAAGTCACGTAGAAGGGAAATAATAAAATAATACAAGTAATACAATAATATTCTCACGACGTTTCGGCCACAACGCAAGCAGCCGTCCTCAGGTGAGGACAGCCCTGTTCTTCACCCGAGGACGGCTGCTTGTGTTGTGGCTGAAACGTCGTGAGAATTGTATTTTATTATGTTCTATTTTTATTATTTTATCATTTCCCTTCTACGTGACTTTACCGAAAGAACCAAGAAGACTAATTATTATCAAACGCAGAACACCTCCTGGGTATGAGTCTTGATACTTAAGGGAGGTTATCTTGAGTAAATAAGAAGCTCATTAGTATTTCAAATTCATTGACTCAAATCACAATGTTGACTTGACGTTTTCGTGACTGCAGGAATCCATACTCGTTGGTTCTGTCGGTAAAGTCACGTAGCTCGAAAAATAATAGATCGCGACGTTTCGATCGCAACACAAGCAATTGTCATCAGGTGGGACAACCACAGCAAGAAAAAACTGCTGAAGGAGGCACAATGTACAGTATGTATGTTGAACTTCACAATTGTGGAAAAATCGCCTGATGACGCTGGTTGTTGTAATCACCAGCAAACCTTCGTACTCGAATTGTCAACGTTGTGGGTTTACTCCCCAACACAACCGGTGTGCTGAACTAGTCACTAAATGCCACGTTTTGTTCACGTGACGAACTTTACTAATTGGCCGTGTGGGGCGGTGCAATATTCCTCAGGGACTCTGCACTCGTTCTCTGCAATGTTGATATTTTATTTTGTGTTTTTGTTGCTGTTGTTGCTGCTGCTGCTCACGCACCATGGATCCCCCCCCACCCTCCCGGTGTAAAATAGCCGGGCAACGTGCTCGACGAAATCATCCGTAGTAACAAATCAAATAAACTAGATTCGAAGCTTTCGTGACTGCAGGAATTGCTCTTTGGTTCTTTCGGTAAAGTCACGTATAAAATAAAATAATACAAGAATACGACGTTTCGGTTGCAACACAAGCAGCTATCATCAGGTCTCGCTCCATGTGTCTTTGTGTGTGTCTCTCTCTCCATGTGGTTTCCGTGTCTGTGTTTTATCATTCATTCTTACCTGATGACGGTTGCTTGTGTTGCAACCGAAACGTCGTATTCTATCATTATTATTTGATTTTCTACGTGACTTTACCGAAAGGACCAAAGAGTAAAACAAATAAACTCGAAAATCAACGCTAACGCAGTGCACGTGCATCACACGCGTGATGCAGTCAGCCAGCAGCTCGCTCTGCAACCTTCCATCTTCCCCAGTGTTCTCGTCACACATAACAAAAAAACCGAAGTCGATATGAATAATACTAGTCGCGAAAGCCCACGTGTTAAATTGACATTTGCGACGCCATTATAGACTGGGGCAAGGCTGTCCATGCGTGGTGAAGGGCTCCTTGCTGCTGACAACCCACAGTGGGTGACTCCATCAACTCCCAGAGCCTCCCACACGGAGTTCTCCAGGAGCGTGTCCCAACTTCCACTTTTCACGAGAGTTTTCATGACCAAGTCGAGTTAAATGCCAAATCATAACGCTGCCTCAGCGGATTGCGTCAATCGGTTATATACGAATACCGTACGTGCTGATTACCCACAATCTATCAAGACAGCCATGTACAGCGAAACGCTTCTGTGCCCTCAATTCTAATCATCAGTGATGAATATTGGTACCATATCGGAGCCGTTGCATGCACACAATTTATTTAAGATGGGGCACAGTGGGGAGAGTTCACTTTGCGGTCACGGCTAACATCAGTGGTGAGTGGTATCCCGACCAGTTCTGACCAACACCCCTGAATTAACCCTAATTCTGCAGCACAGTGAAGGATGGTCAAACAACGCCCATGACTGTTGCGGCACTGACAAGGTTTCATGCAGCAGTAGATGGACAAAGCGCCGTATAGTATCACCAATAGCGGAGCCAGGATTTTCAGGTAGAGTGGACAACCCCTAAGTAAGGACTTGTCCCTTGCTTTTTATTCGACACGTGTGCGGCGATGGCGAGGGTCGAATTTCGAACCGCGTTGTGTGATCGGCATCGCGCTCGCTGAAGGTGAATGCCTTCAGGGAAGTCGTGCGCTGTATACGCAACTGCGCACAATTCTGTGAGTCACTTATAACCGCTTTGCCGTTACTTATTGCAAATTATGAACTCAGACTATTGTCCTATCATCTCATAGAGTCCCTGGCCACGTAATAACATGCTACACAGTGGCAGTGGGGGTCAAAAAATGCCGATTTATTACTAATAAACCCAATGATCCGATCGAAATTAGGGATTATTGGGGGGGCACGTGCCACCCCATTTATCACTATACATTAACAAGGAAGAGACGTCAACCTATTGCTCATTCTTAACGAGTAATTGACCGATACGAGGTTTTCATACCTTGGTAAAATCTTGACTTAAAGCTTTCGTGACTGCAGGAATTAATATTCTTTAGATCTTTCGGTAAAGTCACGTAGATAGGTTAACATTTTATACAAATAAACCCCCAAAACACCTGAAGACGATTGCTTGTGTTCTGATCGAAACATCATGGTTTTTTGTTTATTTTGATTAATTTTGAACCTATCTACGTGACTTTACCGAAAGACCCAAATAATTTGGTAAAAACTGTTTTTTTGTGTGTGTTGGGGAGTTGTTGCGACTTTCCACAGTACGTCATGAGGACAACAGCTGTGGACGCTGCTAACGACGGCCAAACACCAGCGTTTACCAAGGTGCTAAACCTCCTTCATGACGAGCAAATTCGGGTATTCGGAGACCAGCTTTGTCATCGGCGATAATTCTGTTTGTGTCACGTAACGTTCATTGACGAGGCGTTGTAATTCACGACGAGGTTCTGGCGACGACGACCAACACACACGTACTCAGGCCCCCTCTGCGAAAAGGGCCTTGAAACGCCGTGTTCAATTTGTAAATGTTGTGGATCTACTCTCCAACACACCGGTGGGCTGAAGTAGTAACTAATTGGCGCATTGTTTACTGTGACAAACCTTACTGGCTGTGTCGGGTGGTGGAGGTTCACGACACATTTATACTTACGCGAACTAACTCAAAAAACTTTATTGTTAATAGTATTGGTCGCGAAAGCCTACCGTGTTAAACAACCTCTGTAAGGTTTCCCCAGGATTAGGGCCTGATGAATTGAGCATCGTGAGTGAAATCGCATTTGCAAAATCGAAGAAAGAAACCAAATCGTCAGCTTTGCAGATGCAAAGTCGGACGAAGCACGTTCGTGTGTATGTACGTACGTACGTTGAACTTCTTTCGCACCCTACGTAGCCAACCGTGCTCATCGGGGGTGCGAGAGACAATAACTGGCGCTCCTGCATTGCCAAACGTGAGCCTATAATGGAGAGCAAAGCGTTCCTTACAAATTGTCTTCTGCACTCAACGTGTATGTTCGTATAAAAGCGCCAAATGCTATTTCGATTTTATTTTCATTATCGTGTTGAAACGTTTTAAGCTTATCAACGTTTTGACAACAAAAGTAAGTTTTCCGGCACAGAAGTGGTTCACAAGCACGATGACCGGTGTGTAATTGCAGTGTACAGTACAATACATTTGCACGTTGAAGTGTCGTTCGAGTAACGGTTTCTGTAATTAAACAAATTGCATTCAAATACGGAATAACTGATGCGATGTAAATATTTACAATGTTCGCCTTTGTTGTGCGACCCACTTGTCAAAGTGCTGTGTGGCCTCGGGCTAAATTGACATAAAACCTCCTGGGATCCCGATACAATTCCTGCCATGAATAAATAACCATGCTAACATTTTATTATAATCTAATGCATGTTTTTTTTTGTTGAGCGTATATGATTTCATGGGAGGTCGGTATTGCCTACCACATCGGCCGAGTGCATCGGCGCTCACCCTACATGGTGACCTTTTGCTCCCACACTGTAAATGTGTAAATTCCACCACTGGCTGTGGCTCAGGGCCACCAATGGAGACAAATATTGCCCAGGTGGTCACGTGAGATCAGCGATAACGTTTGATTCATTACACAGCGTACGAATCGTAAAGGGTGTGGCAACAGTGCTCTCTGAACGCGACAACCTGAGTTCAATTCCTGGCCACGGAAACACCAGTGGCGAGTGATACACACAATATTATTTTATTTCACCAGATAACGCCCACTGAGCTATAGAGCTATTTTTTCGGAAATGACCCAGCCACAAATGATCGTTCAAAAAAGTGGCTTAGCATGTGGACATTTATAGCAGCCAAATACTCTAAACGCATGTTTCTAAGTGTGGAAAGAAAAACCGGATGACCCGGAGAAAAATCCACGCGACCACGGGGACAACACGCAAACTCCAAAATATACAGCAGTGGTCGGGGTCGGGATCAAACCCACGACCTCCTGTATAGCAGAACAGGTAATAATATCTCACCACCGTGGCACCCCCAATAAAGACCAACATGGTGAAGTATGGTCAAACAACCGCTATAACTGACACGAAGTGTGAAGGATTTCATCTGTCAGTTGACTGACAGACCGTTCGAATTTCTGCACCATCATCACCAGCCACGATCTAGCGCCTGCTGGTTGAAGGCCTTCCCGAACCATCACCATCCATCATGATCGTGCGATGCCACGATCCATCTCGATCTTGCACAGCTCATGTCATCGCTCCATCTCCGCAGCGGGCACGCTCCATCCTTCGGTTATCACTCGGTCACTAGTGCTGACCATCGGCCATCATCACTTCCCGCAACACGTCATGGCCAAGTCCATTTCCTGATCTTAGCAGTCAGCAAGACGTCTCTAATTTGTGTTTGTTTGTCGAGACGTGTTCCTCTTATAGTCTCTGAGTGTCACTTCCCTGCATGCATTTCGGCCACGCTTTTTTGTGCACTTCTCAGTTTTTGTTGTACAT